CCATCCTGCCGGGGTGCACGCAAGGGATGCATAGCTGCTGGGGTTTTTTCCCACTACGGGTTTGACCTCTCATCGGACATCATGTGAGCAATGAAGCGACTAGCCCGTGTGGAAGATGCGGGGCAGCACAAAGGTGGTACCAAGCAGGTTGTAATAACGCACCTGACGCTTGGCCGCAGGTCTGCAAGGCTGGGCACGCTGTCGCCAGCCCCGGCAACCGTCCCTAGGGTGGCATGCGTGCCCCCAGTGGCCAGGCCACCACCCGTCTGCTCGGGCCCGCATGCGGCCACCTCATGTTGAGGTGGGCGCCCATCCGTCACCTCTTCCCTGCCTCTGTCTCCCGCTTCCCCCTGCGCAGCAGGACAGTCCATAGCCGGTGGCGTTGTGGACCCGATGTTGAGTCGGTCCTCGGCTACACTCTCCTGTTTCTCTCCCCACCCTCCCCCCCTGTCTCCCAATTCTCTGCCTGCTCTCTCCACCCTCTCACCACTACCTCCCAACTCTCTTCCCTATGTAATGCCACACTCTCCTGTTTCTCCACCCAACCCCCCCCCCCCCCGCTGTCTCCCCATTCCCTCTATCTCGCTCCCCACCCTCTCCCCACTACCACCCAACTCTATTCACTCACCAGTGCCACCCTCTCCCCACTACCTCCCGGCTCTCACGGCCTCTCTAATGTGACCTTCTCCTGTTTCTCGTCCCACTCCTCCCCCCCCCGTCTCCCAATTCTCTGCCTGCTCTCTCGACCCTCTCACCACTACCTCCCAACTCAGCTCCCTCACTAATGCCACCCTCCCCTGTTTCTCTCACCGCACTCCTCCCCCCCCTGTCTCCCAATTCTCTGCCTGCTCTCTCCACCCTCTCACCACTACCTCCCAACTCAGCTCCCTCACTAATGCCACCCTCCCCTGTTTCTCTCACCGCACTCCTCCCCCCCCTTGTCTCCCAATTCTCTGCCTGCTCTCTCCACCCTCTCACCACTACCTCCCAACTCAGCTCCCTCACTAATGCCACCCTCCCCTGTTTCTCTCACCGCACTCCTCCCCCCCCTGTCTCCCAATTCTCTGCCTGCTCTCTCCACCCTCTCACCACTACCTCCCAACTCAGCTCCCTCACTAATGCCACCCTCCCCTGTTTCTCTCACCGCACTCCTCCCCCCCCTTGTCTCCCAATTCTCTGCCTGCTCTCTCCACCCTCTCACCACTACCTCCCAACTCAGCTCCCTCACTAATGCCACCCTCCCCTGTTTCTCTCACCGCACTCCTCCCCCCCCTTGTCTCCCAATTCTCCTCCCCCCACAACCTCCCAGCTCTCTTCCCTCTCTAATGTCACGTTCTCCTGTTTCTCTCCCCACCCTCCCCCCCCCCTGTCTCCCATTTCTCTGCCTGCTCTCTCCACCCTCTCACCACTACCTCCCAACTCAGCTCCCTCACTAATGCCACCCTCCCCTGTTTCTCTCACCGCACTCCTCCCCCCCCCTGTCTCCCATTTCTCTGCCTGCTCTCTCCACCCTCTCACCACTACCTCCCAACTCAGCTCCCTCACTAATGCCACCCTCCCCTGTTTCTCTCACCGCACTCCTCCCCCCCCTTGTCTCCCAATTCTCTGCCTGCTCTCTCCACCCTCTCACCACTACCTCCCAACTCAGCTCCCTCACTAATGCCACCCTCCCCTGTTTCTCTCACCGCACTCCTCCCCCCCCTTGTCTCCCAATTCTCTGCCTGCTCTCTCCACCCTCTCACCACTACCTCCCAACTCAGCTCCCTCACTAATGCCACCCTCCCCTGTTTCTCTCACCGCACTCCTCCCCCCCCTGTCTCCCAATTCTCTGCCTGCTCTCTCCACCCTCTCACCACTACCTCCCAACTCAGCTCCCTCACTAATGCCACCCTCCCCTGTTTCTCTCACCGCACTCCTCCCCCCCCTTGTCTCCCAATTCTCTGCCTGCTCTCTCCACCCTCTCACCACTACCTCCCAACTCAGCTCCCTCACTAATGCCACCCTCCCCTGTTTCTCTCACCGCACTCCTCCCCCCCCTTGTCTCCCAATTCTCCTCCCCCCACAACCTCCCAGCTCTCTTCCCTCTCTAATGTCACGTTCTCCTGTTTCTCTCCCCACCCTCCCCCCCCCCTGTCTCCCATTTCTCTGCCTGCTCTCTCCACCCTCTCACCACTACCTCCCAACTCAGCTCCCTCACTAATGCCACCCTCCCCTGTTTCTCTCACCGCACTCCTCCCCCCCTTGTCTCCCAATTCTCTGCCTGCTCTCTCCACCCTCTCACCACTACCTCCCAACTCAGCTCCCTCACTAATGCCACCCTCCCCTGTTTCTCTCACCGCACTCCTCCCCCCCCTTGTCTCCCAATTCTTCTCCCCCCACAACCTCCCAGCTCTCTTCCCTCTCTAATGTCACGTTCTCCTGTTTCTCTCCCCACCCTCCCCCCCCCTGTCTCCCATTTCTCTGCCTGCTCTCTCCACCCTTTCACCACTACCTCCCAACTCAGCTCCCTCACTAATGCCACCCTCCCCTGTTTCTCTCACCGCACTCCTCCCCCCCCTTGTCTCCCAATTCTCCTCCCCCCACAACCTCCCAGCTCTCTTCCCTCTCTAATGTCACCTTCTCCTGTTTCTCTGCCCACCCTCCCCCCCCCGTCTCCCAATTCTCTGCCTGCTCTCTCCACCCTCTAACCACTACCTCCCAACTCTCTTCCCTCTCTAATGCCACCCTCTCCTGTTTCTATCATTCCCCCCCCCCCCCCCCCCCCCCCCCGCTGTGTCCCAATTCTCTCCATGCTCTTCCGCACCTCTCCCCAGTATCTCTCATCTCACCGCCCCTCTCCAATGCCACACTTCCTGTGTTCTCTGCATTCTCTGTGGGCTTTCCCGAACCCTATGTTTTCCCCGCTCCCGGCTCCCCCCCTTTCCATCACCCCTGGCCTTCTTTGTCCCCTCTCTTCCCATTCTCTACCCTCGTCGCAAAAACGGCAGAATGCGGAGTGGAGGGTGTACAGTTGGCTGACGGCCTGCCTCTGTGCTTGCCTCTGCCTCTGCCAGGGGAGCGTGGCGTGGCAAATGGCGCTAGTGGGCTCCGTCAACGCAGCGGAGGCACGTAAGAGGGGAGTCAGCCTCACGCGGAATGCTGGGTAGGGGCGCGCGGTATAGGCGGGATGCAGGGAGAGGATCGAGGCGACGCGGAACGCGTGGGAGGGGAGAGAGACGATGCGGAACGCGTGGGAGGGGGAGAGATGATGCGGAAGCGTGGGAGGGGAGAGAGACGACGCGGAATGCGTGGGAGGGGAGAGAGACGACGCAAAACGTGTGGGAGGGGTGAGAGACGACGCGGAGTGCGTGGGAGGGGAGAGAGATGACACGGAATGCGTGGGAGGGGAGAGAGATGATGCGGAATGCGTGGGAGGGGAGAGAGACGATGCGGAATGCATGGGAGGGGAGAGAGACGACACGGAATGCGTGGGAGGGGAGAGAGACGATGCGGAGTGCGTGGGAGGGGAGAGAGACGATGCGGAGTGCGTGGGAGGGGAGAGAGATGACACGGAGTGCGTGGGAGGGGAGAGAGACGACACGGAATGCGTGGGAGGGGAGAGAGACGACACGGAATGCGTGGGAGGGGAGAGAGACGATGCGGAATGCGGGGGAGGGGAGAGAGACCACACGGAGTGCGTGGGAGGGGAGAGAGACGATGCGGAATGCGTGGGTGGGGAGAGAGATCCCGCGGAACGCGTGGGAGGGAGAGAGACGACACGGAATGCGTGGGAGGGGAGAGAGACGATGCGGAATGCGGGGGAGGGGAGAGAGACCACACGGAGTGCGTGGGAGGGGAGAGAGACGATGCGGAATGCGTGGGTGGGGAGAGAGACGATGCGGAATGCGTGGGAGGGGAGAGAGATCCCGCGGAACGCGTGGGAGGGAGAGAGACGACACGGAATGCGTGGGAGGGGAGAGAGACGATGCGGAATGCGGGGGAGGGGAGAGAGACCACACGGAGTGCGTGGGAGGGGAGAGAGACCCCGCGGAACGCGAGGGAGGGAGGGAGACGACACGGAATGCGTGGGAGGGGAGAGAGACGACACGGAATGCGTGGGAGGGGAGAGAGGCGACACGGAATGCTTCGGAGTGTTGCGAGGCTCGGAACGCGGGACGACGCGGGATGTGTGGGAGGGGTGAGAGGCGCGGCTACACACTGCGCTGGATGGTGGGCGTCGTTTTGACGGTAAGATCTGAATGGGGTGCGCGGCGTGGCGGGTTCGAGCCACTGGTTATTTTATCGAGCGGCACGGGACCTGCGTCCAAAGCTGTAATTCCAAGGGGTCTTATCCTACTCAACCGTCACCTCTTCACCCTCTCCCGCACGGCCCTCACCTCCTCATTCCTCTCGCTGGGCTCGGCATTCGCGCTCATGTCGCGCCTCTCCTTCTCGACCCGCGGTGATTCCCCTAGGCTCTCCACACGTGCGTTCCCCCCCGTGTCGTTTCCTCCTAACGCCGCGCCTTTCGCCACGTGCGGCGTGTGCTGGCCGCGTGTCCTAGTTATGTGGGCTACCCCTTTCTTGAGCTTTACGAGGTCTAGCAGTGCCTGGGGTGTGGGCGAGCTTTACGAGGTCTAGCAGTGCCTGGGGTGTGGGCGAGCTTTACGAGGTCTAGCAGTGCCTGGGGTGTGGGCGTTCTGTGTAAGTCCAGAGTCTCATGTACCGTTGGGTGCATCGTTTGTTTTGCAGTTGGGTTGCCTGGCTGCCGAACGTACTTGGGTTCGGTAACCGTACCTCTGCCTTTCAGTTGAATGTTCCGGCTTGGAGCTTCTCCGAGCCTTGTTTTTGGGTCCCAACCACTTTTCCACACTTTGCGAAGGTTGACTTGGTTACCCTGCGAGCAAGTGTTTTGCAGTTGCTCCAATTTCTCTTACTTGAGACCCTGGCTTTAAATGGAAGGGTGCGAGAAATTGTGCCCCCTGGCATGGCAGGGAAGGCCTTGTATTCGGTATTGTGGTCAATTTGGAATAGTATTCCTCAATTGTACACAGCTTCTACGTTCTACAGATGGGTTATTTTGAGGTAGCGAACGAAAGTTCGAACCTTCACCAGATTGAATTGAAGCACCCCATATCGAATATATTCGGTCCACCACCCTTCCCGCCAACTCCGCTCCTGTCCGTCAGTTCCCACCCCTGCCATCCAATGTCAACGCAACCAAAACACGTCGCCGTCGGATCGCGAATCGCCCCCATCGAGCGCTCGAATCGCTCTCCTCTCTCCGCCGCCCTTCGTGCTGCCCTCGCGACTTTCTGCTCTCTGCCCCAACCCGACCTGACCAGACCCCAACTTTCGTGCTGCTTTATGTACCACTCCATCTTACCCAACCGAGATGAAAACTAACTGAACCAGACACAATCCCCTTCACTGTGGCATCACCTATCAAGCACCCATCGCCCTAGCCCTTGGCACAGAATCCTTGTACCAATCTGCCACTTCCGTCCCTGTCAAACCCAGCCCTTGCTCTGCGTTCTTTCACCACGCCAACCACATTTCTCTGCTGCTCATTTCGTTTCTCTCTACCACTCCCATCCCATGTCCTCTTCATACCATCGTCGCGCGATCTCACGCTAGTTTTCTTCGCCTAGTCTCCCTACTTCCAGCGTCTAGCGATCATCTAACTGCCGCAGACCGGACCGGACCGGACAGGACCGGACCATCAGCAATGAGCCTCCTAACCGTGAGCGATGCGGACCGCCGCAGGCGAAAGGTCGAGCTCGCGGAATTTAAAGCCGACATTGCGATTATCAAAGAGCGGTTCCAGAAGGTAAAGCTGGAGGACATGCAGCTGTCGATCCAGCTGCACCACCTGCACGCGCAGGAGGACCGCCAGCACCACGGCCTCATCAGCGGCCGCGGCATCCGCGCTTATGAGCCGCCCGCTATCCGCAAGATGTACGACTCGGTGACGCAGCCCGATCCCTCCTCCGACGCGCCGCACTCTCCTAGAATAGTCGAACGCTCCCAGCCTCCCGCCGCAACTTCGCCGTCGAACGCGGAGAACCAACAGCCCGCATCCTCCGCCTCTTCCGCCACCTCCGCCGCGTCGTCCTCGTCCGCCGGCGCGTTCACGTTGATTCAGGATCTGCTGTCGGGCCAGCGGCTCTTCAGCGAGGTGCTGCCGTGGGCGCGCTCCAACCCCACCGCGGACCCCGCCGCGAATTCTGGCGACGCGCTTCTCAAGCAGGCCGGGCTCGACGGCTTCACTCTGCTGTCGCCCAGCGCGCAGTCGCAGAACCAGTCGCCGACCGCCGCACAGTCGCCTCACAAGGAGGCTGCCACGTCGCAGACCGGCAGCGTGGGCTTTTTACCGGTCGGCAACGACAAATCCGACTCTGGGCAAGTGTCCTCCCCGCAGGAGCCTTCTGCGCGTTCCCCCTCCTCCACCAGGGCGGATACCACCGGCGGAAGCTCCGCTTCTGTTCCGCGGCTGTCTCGTGTGCGCCGATCCGTGCATCGCGTGGGCGCAGTCTCCGTGTCTTCTTCCCCCGCCTCTTCCGCCTCCTCCCTCCGCACCCCCTCATCGGCGCAACCTCCGCGTGCCCCCTCCCCTTCGCGCGTCGTGAGCCTCTCGGAAAACTCCCCCTCGTGCGTCGGGCAGGGCGTGTCCCCCTCGTCGACCGCCACGTCATCCATCGGCGCGCAGCAGTCCCCGCTGAGGCCCCTGACGGCCGCGCAGCAGCTGCGCGCCGAGTTGGCGGAGCGGCGCAACGGCGCTGCGGCGAAGCTGTTTTCCGACGCCGCCAAGGAAGCGCTGCTGGTGCGCGCGGGGCTGCTGCCGGGGCCCGCCGAGGGAGGCGCGACCCGCGCGCGCAGCAGCGAAGAGGGCACAGGCGCGGGGGATGGCGCGGGCGCAAGAGACGCAGGTCTGACGGAAAAGGTGGCGCAGTCGGCCTCAGCTGGTGCTGACTGCGCGGCCTCAAGTGTGGCGGAGGGGGAAGGGTGGCAGCAGACGAGCGGAGTGGCGGAGTCTCTGAGGCTGAGCGGGGAGCTCAGGAGCAGACTGAGGGCAGCTCTGGGAGAGAGGGCCGTAGCGGGAGAGAGGGAATGCTCAAAGAATGGTGAGGGCGAGTCCCCCGTTGCTGTCGAGGCTGCAGCTTGAGTAGTATGTCGGCATGGAGCATGCTCTCTGGTTCGAGTGTTGGCATTGTGACCAGATTAGATTGCAATGCTCTGGCTGCTGGCTTGTGTCATAACCCATGGCTGCTGGCTTGTGTCATAACCCATGGCTGCTGGCTTGTGTCACTAACATGATCCAAGCAGGTTTTCCATGGTGCAGGCACAATTGCACAAAATCATACACTCGGAATTGGCTGTGTACTTGTCTTTGATTACTCATGGTGTTTGCCTTCATTTCCACTACCCGAGCCTACCTTCCTGTTGACTTCATAAATCGCCCATAAATCGCCTTCATTTCCATAAAATTCAGCTCCATGTTCAACCTAAGATTAGCATGTGTAGGCATGAGTATAAAACCATCATCTCGATAACATTTGAAAAACGGTTATCGAACTACAGCACGTTTGATACTCCACTCCACATCAGATTCCTGCCTCTGTTGTTCGATAGCCCCTAGATTCTGTCACACCTCTGTCCCACCGCCATTTTTTAGCTGCCGCCTCTTCAGTTTTATCTGAGAATGCGCGTACCCACTGAATCGTAGTCCCTTGCGGCTCGCTGTTGTCGCATACATGTCGCGATCCAATCGCCTGTCGTCGCAGCACCATCGCACGATCGCGCAGCCGCACAGAGGGTCCTCCCAGCCGCACCACCGAGGCGTGCCAGGGCGAGGCGGCGGCGGCAGCCAGCTGTGCGGGCGCCTGCTGCTGCTGCTCGTGGTCGCGCAAGGCCTCTACATCCTAAAGCTTAAATTCTCCCCGCGATCTGATGCCACGCGACAGAGCGCAGCGACCGCGGCTCAGGGCCAATCGGACGGCCACGATTTGACGAAGCTGTTCAGCGCAAGCGGCGGAGGAAGCGGGCAGCGGGAGGCGGCTGCGGACGCGGATTCGATTCACCTCGGCGGACCGCGACGAAACACCCACGAAGGTTCGCGTGGCGCCACGTACTACGCGGGCGACGAGCGCAAGTGGGTGCGGAGATTCGCGGGCGGCGGGATCGACGCGAAGGACGATGCGGAGCCGCGCGGAGAGGGTGCGCAGCAGGGGGAGGACCGGGGGAATGCGCGGGAGCATGCGCTGGTAAAGGCGCAGGGGGAGGCGGGGGGGGAGGAGGGAAAGGGGGTGGAGTTAAGAAGCGGCGATGACGATTGGATGGTTGACGGGACTAAGACTAGTCAGCCCATAATAGTCGACGAGGAGAGCGGGAGGGGCGGAGGGGAGGGTGAGGAGGAGCGGAAGGGAGTGGAGTTAAGGAGTGGTGACGATGATTGGATGGTGGACGGGACTAAGAGCGACCAGCCGTTGATCTTCGATGAGAACACGTGGCGCGGCAGGGGGACGGACGACGATAGTGGGAGGGGGAGGGAGGCGGACGACGATAGGGGGAGGGGGAGGGAGGTGGACGACGACAGGGGGAGCGGGAGGGAGGCGGACGGCGATAGGGGGAGGGGAGAGGGGAAGGCGGACACGGGGAGGGCGAGCGGGGAGGGCGGCGGAGGGGACATGTTTCTGACGGGGAGCGGAGACGATATGGGGATGGATGAGGGGGGGACGGGGGAGGGGGGAGAGGGGGAAGGGGAGAGTAGGGGGAGAGGAGAGAGGGAGGGGAGACGAGGGAGGAGGAGGAGGAGGAGGGGGAGGGGGAGCCGGTTTGGCAGTCGCCATTGGACGAGGCGTCTGAGTGGTCCCCACTGCAGGGCCCTCCTGATGGGCTGACGTGTCGCTCATGGCTGCAAGAGGCTGATGACGTGGCATTCAGGAGGGACTTCGAGAAGCGGCCAATCAGAGTGATGGATTACGAGGTCAGCTAATAGATGGGGATGTGAATGCGCCTTTGCACGCACCCGTTTACACGCACCCCTTTGGACCCAACCCTTTGGACCCAACCCATGGCCGAGCTGCTGACCGCATGGCCGAGCTGCGTGACGCGTCGTGTGTCGTGCCGTGTGGTCAGCTTGTTGCGAAGCGCTCTCCTGAGGCGCTTGCCTCTGCCCTTCCCTCCGTCCCCCCTCCCTCACCCCCGCCCCCCGCACCCATCAGGTCCCCCGCACCCATCAGGTCCGCCGTACGTATGTGACGTGCCCCGCCACAGAGCTGTGTGACGTGCCCTGTGAGATGCCCGGAAAATACACTCCTGCCTCTGCGCTCTCCTCCTTCCCTCTCCACCACCGCCTTCTCACCCACCCCTCCACCCCCCCTCTCGTCCCCCATCCCCCCCAGGTCCGCAGGTACCCGTGTGGCGTGCCGCGTGAGATGGTGGGCAACACACTCCTGGCTCCGCCCTCTCATCCTTTCCTCTCATCACGCCCTTTCTTCCTCCACCCCCCCATCCGCCGATCCCCCGCAGATCCGCAGGTACCCGTGTGACGTGCCGTGTGAGATGGTGGGCAAGACCCCCGCCGCGCAGCTGGACGGCAGCCTGGCGGGCGCCGTGCCTCGGCACAAGGCGGTGATGCGCTCCATGGAGCCGCGGGGGTATTATGCCAGCAACGACCTGGCTGCGGCGCACAAGGAGCACGGGGTGAGTGGGGTGAGTGGGGTGAGTGGTGTGAGTGGGGTGAGTGGTGTGAGTGGTGTGAGTGGTGTGAGTGGTGTGAGTGGTGTGAGTGGTGTGAGTGGTGTGAGTGCTGTGAGTGCTGTGTGCTTGTACCAAGGGCGACATGGTGGGCAGAGGTGATGCGCTCCATGGAGCCCCACGGGTACTTTGCCAGCAACGACCCAGCGAGTGCTATTTGAGTCGACTCAGATGTCACCATGATGATGTGCGAGTGCTATGAGTGCGGGTTATGGCAGGAGACACGACGCGAGGCGCTCTTCTTACGCCCTCCCTTGCTCCCTCTACATTGTCTCTCTGCCCTCTCCTCTCCAGGTTGTGATGGCGGCACACGAGGATTTCGATGTGCCGGTGCTGCAGTACGGGTCATGGGAGGAGTATGACATGATCTGCCTTTTTTAACTCCTCTCCTCCCATCCCCTTCTCATTACATTAGGTAGTGATGACTGTGCTCTACGGCTCAGATGTGCCAGTGCAGTACGGCTCAGATGTGCCGGTGCAGTACGGCTCAGATGTGCCGGTGCAGTACGGCTCAGATGTGCCGGTGCAGTACGGCTCAGATGTGCCGGTGCAGTACGGCTCAGATGTGCCGGTGCAGTACGGCTCAGATGTGCCGGTGCAGTACGGCTCAGATGTGCCCGTGCAGTACGGGTCATGAGAGGAGTATGATATGATGTGATGCAGCCACTTTGTGACCTTCCTTCCTCCCTCTCCAGCTCATATCTTTCTCTCTTCCCATACCCATCCCAGGTGGTAATGACGGTGCACTATGACTCGGACGTGCCGGTGCAGTACGGGTCGTGGGAGGAGTACGATGTGATGCGGCCAGCCGTGAATAAGACCGCCATGGCGGCTGCTTTCATCAGCAACTGCCACGCCAACAACTTCAGACTCGAGGTGAGACGCGCTCTCTTGTGCTGCGGTGCTGTGTGGTGCCGTATGATGCTGTGTGGTTCTGTAGCCACTCCGCTCATCAGCAACTGCCATGCCAACAACTTCAGACTCGATGTGAGATGTGCTCTCATGCTCTCATGCCATCACACTGCCATGCCATACCCTCATCATTCCAGCACGTTCATTCACCCCACCTCACCTCACCCCGTCTCATGTGCGAGGAGTCTATTTTTGAGGCGCCTCAAAAATAGGCGCCTCAAAAATAGACTCATCATTCCAGCACATTCATTCACCCCACCTCACCCCACCTCACCCCACCTCACCTCACCTCACCTCACCCCATTTCATGTGCGCTTCCTTTGCCCTTCTCACGCCCTCCCTCTATCTCCCTCCCTTCCCATCCCCATCGCCCCTCCCATCGAACATCCTCTCACCACGGCCATGCCTCCGCATTCCTCTGCCCACCGTCTCAGCAGCATGCCCAGCAAGCTCTACACCTGAGCAAGCTCTGCGCGTCGCAACTCCCCTCTCCTCTCTTCCTTACCCTCGATTTTCAAACCCCCAGGCACTGAAGGAGCTGGGTCGCCACATGGAGGTGCATTCGTACGGCCGCTGCCTCAACAACATACGCAGCGAGCGCGACAAGCTGCCAGTGCTGGCGCGGCACCGCTTCTCCCTGGCGTTCGAGAACACCTGCGAGGAGGACTACGTCACCGAGAAGTTCTGGCAGTGCCTCGTCGCCGGGTCCATCCCCGTCGTCATCGGAGCCCCCAACATCGCCGCCTTCGGTCCCGCCGACAACTCCTTCCTCCAGATCACCTCCCTGGAGGATGTGCCGCGGGTGGCGCGGCAGATGGCAACGCTTGCTGGTAACCAGACGGCGTATGATGAGATGCTGGCGTGGAAGAGGGACGGGCCGTCGCAGGCGTTTCTGGCGAATATGGATCTGTCAGCAGTGCACTCTTCCTGCCGCCTCTGTATCTTTCTCGCTGACCGGATCCGGAGAAGGGACCTGATTGCTGCCAAAGCCCGCCGCCCGTGCCGGTGCGAGGTGCCGGGGAAGCGGGAGGGCGAGAAGCTGGTGGTATACCACCTGTACGTGCGAGAACGGGGGACGTTCCACTTCACCTCAGTTTTCCTGCGCAGCGACCACCTCACTATGAGAGGGCTCACTCTAGCCATAAGACGCAGCTTTCAGAAGAAAGCTCATAAGCCGGTGTGGGTGGGGAAGCGGCCGGCGGTGTTGGGAGCGGATGAGAAGGCGTGGGCTTTAAAGATCTATCGGATATACCCGGCGGGGGCGACGCAACGAGAGGCGCTGTGGGGCGAGGCGTGGTTTAGAAACTCGTCGCAGGCGGTGGGGCATGTAAGCGCGCACCCGTGTGCAAGACTAGAGGTTATCTTCGTATGATGCAGGTGGGCTGTTATTCTAGGTTCCTATTGTGCTGTGGATTTGCGAATGAGTTGCTTGGCAGGAATGCTTGGAAAGGGCAATGTGTGCCTTAGCAAGGTGCTGTATGTGCAATAATTTCCACTACAAGTCAGGAGGCTGCAGTGAAAGTCACAGCAGCCTAGTTTGCACTAACTCAACATGCAGAGCTGAAGTGAGTTACCCTATCTAACACCTTGAGGTGATCCCTGCAACTCCAACTGCAGAAGCTTAGAGGTGTCTCGGAATCTGAAGAATCTGTGGAAAATCGGCTGAGAACCTGTCAGGACTCGAGGCCAAGGAAGTCAGCGAAGCTCTTGTGCATGGGCTCCCACCCCAGTTCGGTGCGGGTGGCCTCGTTGCACATGCGCTTCCCAAGCGGCCCCTCTGTGCCTGTGAACCCCTTGAACTCGCCCTCAAAGCGCCCGCTCCTCACCGTCTGCTCCAAGAGCTCTTGCCTGCATGGGACGTGGTGCATGGTGCATTGGGCAAAGGAGGCAATGCAATGGTACGTCACATAGATTATCACAAAGACTATCACATCGATTATCCGCATGACTTCCCCAGCAGCCGTTCTGTGCCTGTGAGCCCCTTGAACCCGCCCTCAAAGCGCCCGCTCCTCACTGTCTGCTCCATTAGCTCTTGCCATGACGCATGGGTCATGTGGCGCATGGCTTTTGAGTCGACACAAAAGTCATCTTGCCTGCACGCATGGGTCATGTGGTGCATGGCTTTTGAGTCTACTCAAAAGTCATCTTGCCTGCACGCATGGGTCATGTGGCGCATGGCTTTTGAGTCGACTCAAAAGTCATCTTGCCTGCACGCATGGGTCATGTGGTGCATGGCTTTGAGTCGACTCAAAAGTCATCTTGCCTGCACGCATGGGTCATGTGGCGCATGGCTTTTGAGTGGACTCAGAAGTCATCTTGCCTGCACGCATGGGTCATGTGTGTGGCGCATGGCTTTTGAGTCAACTCAAAAGTCATCTTGCCTGCACGCATGGGTCATGTGGCGCATGGCTTTTGAGTTGACTCAAAAGTCATATTGCCTGCACGCATGGGTCATGTGGTGCATGGCTTTTGAGTCGACTCAAAAGTCATCTTGCCTGCACGCATGGGTCATGTGGCGCATGGCTTTCGAGTCGACTCAAAAGTCATCTTGCCTGCACGCATGGGTCATGTGGCGCAGGGCTTTTGAGTCGACTCAAAAGTCATCTTGCCTGCACGCATGGGTCATGTGTGTGGCGCATGGCTTTTGAGTGGACTCAAAAGTCATCTTGCCTGCACGCATGGGTCATGTGGCGCATGGCTTTTGAGTTGAGTCAAAAGTCATCTTGCCTGCACGCATGGGTCATGTGGCACATGGCTTTTGAGTCGAGTCAAAAGTCATATTGCCTGCACGCATGGGTCATGTGGCGCATGGCTTTTGAGTCGACTCAAAAGTCATCTTGCCTGCACGCATGGGTCATGTGTGTGGCGCATGGCTTTTGAGTTGACTCAAAAGTCATCTTGCCTGCACGCATGGGTCATGTGCCTGACATGGCATGGCACGAGGCTGACCTGGAAACAGGGTGGTTGTCGCACCCCATGAACACCCGCCCTTGCTTGCGCGCCGCCAGAATCGCCACACACAGCGACGCCGCGTCCTGATGCACACGCGCCCAACACAGCGGAATGGAGGGAGAAGAGTGGAGATGGGAAGAGGGGGGAAGGAGGAGGGGGGGTGTTTAAGGTGGGATCACGGGAGGAGTGCAGTGGCGCGTAGTGGATATGACGTGAAGGCTCAATGATAATGAGCATGGTGCACATGGGAAGATGTCCAAGGCTCTCTTACCCGTCTCCTGACGCCGCCCTCACTGGAAGATGTCCAAGGCTCAATGATAATGATCACTGTGCACGTGGGAAGGTGCTGGGCTGCTACGCCCTCGCAGCAAAAAAGGCGAGAATGTGGGCTACATTAGGTAGGCACGCCTCGTACCTCGTAGCTGATAAGGTTGAGGATGTGATCAGGCCGCAAGTCCACCGTCCCCTGTCGCAGCCAGTACGTGTGCGCCCCCCGCTCCAATGTATACAGCCCCGCCAGCCGCACCACATTGCCGCCCGCTTCCAGCGCCGCCCCTTCGGCTTTTAGCAGCACGTCCACGCGCGGGCTGGAGCCGAGCGGCACGGTGGGCGCACCCTCGGGGCAGAAGGAGTTGTCAGTGACGGCATAGACTGCGCTGCTGGACGTGAAGAGAAAGGCGCCAGTGCCGTTCCATAGGGCAGCTGCTGCTCTGTTTTGGGGGGGGGGGCGTTTGGAGTATGGTATGGATAGGGGCGGACTAGAGGGTGTGGGCCTTGTGAACACACGGTGGGTGCGTCCTCGGGGCAGAATGAGCATAGACTGCACTGCTTGCGTAGACGACGGTGCCAGTGCCGTTCCACAGCGCTGCTGCTGCTCTGGTAGGGGTGGGGGGCATAGATAGGAGCAGAATGGAAGGTGTGTGTCTCGGCAGACGCTGGGTGTTTTTTTTTGGGGGGGGGGGGGGGGGGGTGGGGTATGGTATGGAGAGGGGCGGATGAGAAGGCGTGTGTCCTGTAAGACACACGGTGGGTGTGCCCTGGTGAGGAGTCTATTTTTGAGGCGCCTCAAAAATAAGAACATACACGGTGGGTGCGCCCTCGGCTCGGGGCAGAGAGAGCTGTCACTACGACGTATACTGCACTGCTGGACGTGAAGCGAAAGGCACTGCTGCCGTTCCACAGGGCTGCTGCTGCTGCTCCGTTGGGGGGGTGTTGGGGTGTGGTGTGGAGAGGAGGAGAGGGGACCAGAGGGGAGGGAACGAGAGGAGAGGGGACGAGAGGTGAAGGGAGGAGGGGCGACACAGGCTGGAGGAGAATGTGGATTCAGGGACTATGTTTACGGAAACATGCTGTGCGGCCTGCTTTTGAGGCGTCTCAAAAGCAGAATGTGGATTCAGGCACCATGATCACGGACACACGCTGTGCGGCCGCATACTGCTCGTTGCTCACCTCACATCGCCCTCATAGTCCTGACTGCCGCCCGGCGGCGCGCAGAAGATGACAAACGGCACGCCGCCCGCGAGTGCCTCGTCGCTGACGTCTCTGAGGATTGGGAAGACGCCCATGGAGCGCAGCTGCTCGTGCCGCGTGTCCGAACGCGTCTGCCCGTACACCTTGGCGCCTGGGTAGCGCTGGGGGGATGGAGGGGCAGTGGAGAGATGTGAGGAGAGGTGAGGAGAGGCGAGGAGAGGTGAGGAGAGGTGAGGAGAGGTGAGGAGAGGTGAGGAGAGGTGAGGAGAGGCGAGGAGAAAGGGGAAAGGGTGTTGGAATACAGAAGTGACAGCACAGTGAATTGGAGGGGGTGAGCATCTCGCTCATCTGCTGCCATTGCTGCGCGTCTCACCTGCTGCCATTGCTGCGCCACCAGTGAGCCCAGTGTGCCGGCGCCCACGATCAGCAGCGTCTTCTCAATCGAGTCCAGCGACGCGCCATCCGCTGCTGCTGCCACCGACGCTGCCACTGATGCTGCTGCTGACGTGGATGCTGCAGCTGCTGCCATGCCTGCCAGTACGAGGGTGAGAGAGAGAGAGACTCCGCGGATCATAGATGCCATTCAGGGGACTAAGGAGGGAGACACTGTAGCCCACAGGAAAGGACCATTTAGCAACATGAATATGCATCAACCCTTCCTCCCTCCCTCCTGCTCCTTCTTCCCCTCCCTTTACCCCCAACCCCCCCTCCCCCCCCCTCTCCCCTCACCCCCCTCCCCACCCCACCTCCCGCGCCTGCCTGCGCCCCACCGCTTCCTTGCAGCAGCGCCAGCGGCAGCAGCGCGGACGCAAGCAGTAGCTTCCGCCGAGGGGGAGCGGGGAGCGGGGACTCGGGGGAAGGCGTCGCTGGCGCGGAAATACCGCCATGTGACAGGGGGAGGGGGGTGGGGGGATTTGACGAGACGGCCGTACCCGATTTGGTGGGAGGCGATGCGGCTGACGTGGACTGTCGCTGCGGAGATCGCACAAGAGCAAGTGGACGGATGAGCAGAGAGACAAGGGCTGGGGAGCGGTCAGTGAGAAGCGGAATATATGGGTTATACGAAAGTAGTGGCTATCATGAGCCCAAGGAATTTCTATCCGTGCTCCGTCTGTTCTCGTCACCCTCTCGTCACCCTCTCGTCACCCTCTCGTCACCCTCTCGTTACCCTCTCGTCACCCTTTCGTTACCCTGTCGTCACCCTGTCGTCACCCTGTCGTCACCCTGTCGTCACCCTCTCGTCACCCTCAACCCCCGTCGCCCACTCACTCGTGAAGCAGCGCCGGCGGCAGCCGGGCGATACGAGGCACGGAGGCTGACGGATGGGGCACGGATGGCAGAAACCCGGAGGAGTCCTCGCCTGCCACAGAGCACCAGGGACAGCTCGAATGTCCGGAAATAACGCCGGTCAACGAAAATTGAGATGCTCACGCAAGTGTACAAGGATTTGTGCCTCGCTGTCGTACCAAACAAGCGAATGGTGAAAGGATTTTAGCCAATGTTCGAAATCGAATACGTCCCGCGCTGTCGCACCTGAGATCCTTGCCGAGAAAACCGCTGTGGAGAAGCGAAGCGGAGGCCAGGGCCGTTGCCATGAGGGACAGGTGTGACAGACAGCAATGCGAGCTGCTAGAATGATGAGAGGAATCTGAGGAATTTGGACCAGAAAGCGAGCTGCAGGCAGGTTGTGCGGGATGTGGGAAGAAATGGCGATTGTCTTGCTGGAACAATTTATTACTATAACTGTATGTGGGGATTGACAACTACACTACTGATCGAATATTCGGTCTATAAATAATTTCGTTGTTCGATTAGAGTGCCTTGTCCCTGCAACTCTGACGCGATTTTCACTTCGGTGCGCTGGGATTCTTCCGCCAGCGTGGCGGGGTAAAGCCCCACCGCGGATCGCCTTGGAAGCATCTGTAGCTATGATTCATCGCCACGTCGGATAATTTGGATTTTGCTGCCTCTGTCAAATCCAGCCTCGCCAACCAGCACCAAGCAGTGCCCTTTTTCGTCTAACGGGGAAACTTGGGCCCACTCCAGTCCCCTCGCAAAATGTCTTTGTTGACCTAAGACTCGAAGATTGCTCCTTAGTTTCAGCTTCGTCCAAGAATCCAGAGATCCTGAGGGCTTAGCTTTCTGATTGTTCCTGTCGTCCTCGCACCCACCGTCTCTCCCGCTAGACAAGACCGTTAATAGTCTGCTCATAAGGATTGTCGGAATGGCGGCGCTAGCCAGCGGCACCTCTTTGATCGTTCCCAGCGCGTGTACAGCCACCGGAAAATCCTCCCTCTCGTGCGCGTCGTCTAGCGTTTATGGCCTTCCTGCCCTCCAGATTCGTTCTAGACGCAGCCCTGCAAGCACATCATGCCGCGCATCCCAAAGAAGAGTAAGTCTTCGCCACGCTTGAAGGAGTTTAATATTTGTTCCGTAGCTAGACCATCTCACCCAGCATGTCCGATGTAGGGTGATCTCACATCCCTTTCACGTCTTTTCATTACTCCGCAGAACTTGCAGATTGTGGCCGCTTCCGACTTGAAAGAAGAGATGGTGGAGTTTGCGAATGCTGAAAAGCGGTGGAGGACTCAGGTGCGCATGATTCAATTATATACCTGATGGTTGTTGTGTGTGCATTTAGAAACGCGCATCAATTGGCGGTTTTCACTGCTAACTGTTCGTGCTGCTGTGTTGCAGATTGCTGAGGGCAAGGTGAAGTCGCTATCGGCGAAGGAAGCGGGGTACACGTACCAGTTGTCGGACTACGTTCTGCTGGACGTGCGACCATCTTATCAGCGCAACAAGGTCAGTCCAGCTGCAATTCGTCCCCGTTTTCCACCCAATCAAATTTCCCATACAGTCAGGGGACATGTAAAGGGCCAACTCCTGTGGTCTCAGTCAGTTCATCAGCATCTCAAACCCGCTGTTGCTCTTGTCGCCTTCAGGCCTGGGTGAAAGGCTCGGTGTGGATCCCTGCTTTCGACGTCGATACCAGTGCTAGCCCTGGGGTCTTATCCCAGAAATTCATGACTTTCATGATGGGTGAGTTCCTTAATTTTGTCATGCAATTCATTTTTAGGAAATTGATGCGGATTTTAAGCACTTGGAGGCAATTCTTCAACTCAACTTGGAAAACACGCTCCATGGCTTTCGTGCACAATACTGAATGCAAGAATTGTAGCTGGACGAATACTGACAAGTGAAGGAGTCAAGTGCTATGGGTGGGATTTCACATATGCGCAGATGGTCAATTTCGCAATTTGTTGCCGTTCGTTGTCCCTTATCAGGAGGATGGTGGTCTGGAGCATCAGTGAACAAGAGGAACGAGTAAGTTGCGCCTTATGAACTCTAGGATGACGTCCCCATGGTTGATGAAGAACCCCTGATATCCTTAGCCGTGCGTCTGCTGCCCTGAGTCCCAGGCCTTATAACGCTCCTCACCTTCAGTTTCTTTTCCCTTTAAAAAGGGATCTTCCTCACCACCTGTTTTTCTCTCATGTGACAATTCGATTGTCGCTTTTCCAGGCGATTTATGGCTGACGTTGTGGCAAACATTCCCAAGAGTGCAAACATCATTGTCGCATGCCAGAAGGGTTTGAGGTAGGCTTCTCCTTGGGTTGTTTAGCTTCCGGAAACAAGCTGGCTTGTGCTGTCTTCAGCTGGGGCTGCCCTTCTCCGGCTCAATCACTGAACGTGTCTTGCTGCAATGTCGTACTTGCATTGCAGGTCCCTTGCAGCGTGTGAGCACCTTTACAAGGCTGGCTACAGGAATATCTATTGGCTAACTGGTGGCTTTGACACTGCTGGTAACGAGGTAACCTGGAAACATATTCTCAACTCCCTGTTGATGCCCCCTCTGCAACCTCAACAATATTGCCATGTTTTCCGTTTGTAATCCCGTCCTCAACTCTTTTCTTGACAACAGTGCAGCCATCTTGCAGTCTATGTTTCTGTTTTGGTTGTGGCAGTAGAGCCTGCTCAAAGCGTTCTGATCAAACTGTCGATTCGCACCGTGACGTTTGTGACTGCAGGACTTCGAGCGAGAGGGTCCTGTGCCACTTCAGCTGGCCGGCATTGGAGGCATGTCTGAATTCATTGGGTAAGATTCTGCAAGGATTGGTAAGTTAGCCTGTTTGTTTGAAGTCCTGCCTAACGTTCTTTACGTTCTGTCGAGTCCAGGTGGACTGATCCTCAACGCCGCCTTGCCAAAACTGAGGGATGGCAGTACCGTGCCCTATTTTTTGGCCGACTGGTATGTCATGGCACTGTTAAGTTCTCTGATATACTTGAAGCATGGCCATCTGACATTCTTTTTAGCATGTCCTTTCCTGCAGCTTGTGGTGTTTCTGGCGTCGGATCTCGCGCTTATTGGGCTGCAGCAGCTCAGCTCATTCTTTCGCGAGCTTGGCCAATAAAGAGATCCACACTCCTGTCTCGTGCACTCGGTTCTTGCATGACGAGTATAGCTAATGTACCATGGTTGGTGAAAGTGAAGTTTTTCTAATCAAAACTCATCTCACGTAGCTCTCATGTACTCTATGGGATATGGCGCTGTATAAAACGAGGTTCACTGTACCAAAGATTTTGGGAGCTGGACCTCAGGTTAGCTCAGATTTTGCGGGCTGGTTGTGCGAATAGTGTCAAGAGACTTTGATGAATCCCCGGATCCTGGAATGCCTTAGCGGATTCTGACGCAAGAATGCCCGTCAATCTTAGAGGAAACGTGTCTAATGGTCATTTGGATGTTTTTCCATTACTAAATCATTTAATCTCGTCGAGGTTTTCTGTAATCAGCAGCTAAAAAACACCACCCAAAACTGATCCATTAGGAAGCAATTACATGCATAAACTATCATTTGCCGGTTTCCGCGTCAAAATGATTGCGAAATCCAGGCCTTTCAGATTCCTGGCCGAGACAAAACGCGTTTCCTTTTCCATCCAAACCAATTGCCAGCAAGCACCACCTCTCCACACCAATCCAATCCCATCATCATGATTCACCGCTGTCTCCCACGTCGCTCGCAACTCTCTCAATGGACCAGATTCCCCCTTGACCCAGGGGGCTTTCTTGATGCTCGCCTGCCCTGTCAGCTCAACATGCTTCTCTCTCTCTCCCTCCCTCCTCCATTCTCCTAGCGCTTGCTGCTCCCTTTTTTGTTTCAGGCTGCTTTCCTGAGGTAACTCATTTACAGTATCCTGTGGCTGCTTCAGTGAACCCTGGAACAAAGTCCGATTTGGTATCGCAGCCCATTTCAATGCTCGCTCGCGCCCATCCGCCTTAAAAGCCTCGCTTTTTTTCCAGTCGATCAACATAGGCTTGGTGAAGTCACGATCAACATTGGGTTGAGTCGTGCCATTGACATTCTGCCGCTCATGACATCGTCAGTGGTTGACTTTCGCTCGAGATATATTTATTCAGGTCCCTCGACACGTCCCCAGTGGCGTCGCCTCCACGCCGTCGAGGCAATTCCTGCGGCTCGTGCTGGTAGACTCTTTGCAGCGGACAGTGCTACTCGTTGCAGCAACGCAGCGCACCAGCTCAACTGACAGCGTACCTCGAAAATACAGTTCCAACAATTGCTAAGCCTAGACCACGCGCTTTAAGTTCCATTGAACTAGCGTTTTTCGGTGTTACAGTGTTGCTCACTCGCGAAGAGAATGTCCGGCGGCCCATCCGGCGGCACGGGTGCGGGAGGGACCAGCAGGGACGGCATGCAGATGCACCCCGACATGGCGTTCGAGTGGGGCTACTCGCCGCGAGGTACGCGCACGCCTCTCAAGCCCCCGCATGCCGGACACGCTTTGCCCGATTTCGAAGTGTGTTCGTGTGCGACCTCTTGTCCTGCACGGAAAGTGGGTCCGTCGTCCCTCGAACATCCCCCTGTCACCACCTTGCTCGCTCCTCGTCAGATCTACCTTCGTGTTTCCCACGTTCCTTCGCTTGTCGTGTGCTCGGTCCCCCCGACCGCCAGCCGTGCACTCGCCGTCGCGCTTCAGTCGCGACGAGGAGGCGAACCCTAACCGGCTGAAGAGCAACTTGAGCCAGCAGCGCACGCTCAGCCTCAGCGCCGCGCGCCTCAGCCAAGCCGCCGCGGAGCTCGGCTTCCACGCCACCCCTCCCCCTCCCACCTCCGCTTCCGCCTCCGCCCATGCGCCACACATGGCGCAAGCAGGAGCGTTCCCCGGCTTTTCTCCCGCGGCTGCTGCGGCGGCCGCGGCTGCGCTCGCAGCGGGCGGGGATGCTGGCGCAGGGTCGGGTCTAGGGGGAGGTATACCCGGGGGAGGTCTGGTGCGAGGCGGGTCGGGACTAGCGGGGTGGTCAGGGGGAGTAGCTGGTGCTGGCGGCGTCGGTAGTCTACAATCGCTTACAGTGGATCCGTTTAAAGCGGGGATAACCGCTCGCGGTACAGGGGGGCTAGGCGTGCCTCCCCTGCCCTTGCCGTTGCCGTCTCCTAAAGGCAACGCCGCCGCCGCTGCTGTCGTCAATGCTGCGGCGGGCAAGCTGGGCAGCCCGAGAGGAAACTTTTCCGGGTCGCGGGCAGCCGCGCTGGGGCACTGGCCGAGACCCGGCCTGCCCGCGAGCATTCAGCAGCAGCTGATGATGGGGGCGATGGGCGGGGGGATGGGGGGCGGAGCAGCAGGGGGGCCCGCGGGGGGACTTGCTGGCGGTGGGGGCGGCAGTGGCAGCATGGGGGCGCTGGGGAATGTAGGCGGAGCTGGAATGGGGGGGATGGCGGGAGTGGCGGCGCTAGCTGCGTTGAATGGTGGCAGTGATGGTAGTGGCAGCGGCAGCGGCAGTGGGGGCGGATTGGCAGGGATGAACCTACAGACGCAGTTGAGCCTGCTCGCAGCCCAGTTAGACGGCCGATTGGACGACAACCCCCTCTCGCGGACCAACAGCGCGCCGCCACTTGGCGCGCTGCTAGCCAGCATCGGTGACGTGGCAGAGCTCGAGAGGCTGTACCGGATGCTCCCGGATGCCATGTCACCAGACGTCTCCACGCACGTGGGCCTCGGTCTGCCGTACCATGGCCTAGCAGCGGCGACAGGCTCGGCAACAAGCTCGGCGGTAGGCTCGGTGGCAACCAGCCCGGAACGAGAGTTAAACATCCATCGGCGTATGAGCAGCATGGGGAGTGGCAGCATGGGTAGCGGCAGCATGGCGGGGTATTTATCCTCGACCTTACCGTCCATGGCCGCTGTTCTCAGGGAGCGCACTAAGCTCTCCCGCACTAGCAGCTGCCCCCCCCCTGTGGCGGAAGACATGAGCGGGGGCGCAGGGGGAAGCGGAATGGAGGAGCGGGGGGAGGAGGGGGAGTCGTCGGAGTCGGAGGGGGAGAGCGGGCAGCATGGGGCGGGCGCGGGGCACAAGCGGAAGAAGCGCAGGGCGCCTGGTGGTGTAGAGGCTGGGGCGGCGCAGGGGGGAGGCGGGTTTGCGCCTGGCAGGGGCGGTGGGGCCACCAAGGTAAGCGCCCGTTTCAGTGTCAAGGGGCTTGGCATGGGTATGCTGCTTGCTTAATCAAACAGCTTCCTTTTTTTTTTCTTTGACTGCAGTCTCCGCGTTTAGCTCCCCTGTGCTCCCCTTGTGCTCCCCTGTGTATGTTTCCCCACTCATGTCTTTTCCCCCCATGTCTCTCCCCCCCATGTCTCTCCCCCCATGTCTCTCCCCCCCATGTCTCTCTCCCCCCCATGTCTCTCCCCCCCCCCCCATGTCTCTCCCCCCATGTCTCTCCCCCCCATGTCTCTCCCCCCCATGTCTCTCCCCCCATGTCTCTCCCCCCCCCCCATGTCTCTCTCCCCCCCATGTCTCTCCCCCCATGTCTCTCCCCCCATGTCTCTCCCCCCTCCCCCCATGTCTCTCCCCCCCATATCTCTCCCCCCCATGTCTCTCCTCCCCCCATGTCTCTGTCTCCCCCCATGTCTCTCCCCCCCATGTCTCTCCCCTCCCCCCCATGTCTCTCCCCCCCATGTCTCTCCCCCCATGTCTCTCCCCCATGTCTCTCCCCCCTGTCTCTCCCCCCATGTCTCTCCCCCCATGTCTCTCCCCCCTTGTCTCTCCCCCATGTCTCTCTCCCCCATGTCTCTCCCCCATGTCTCTCCCCCATGTCTCTCCCCCCATGTCTCTCCCCCATGTCTCTCCCCCCATGTCTCTCCCCCCATGTCTCTCCCCCATGTCTCTTTCCCATGTCTCTCCTCCATGTCTCTCCCCCATGTCTCTCCCCCATGTCTCCCCGCCCTATCCCGCCAAGCGCAGAGGGAGCAGGAGGACGAGGCAATGGAGGGTGGGCCGCGCCTGGGGAGGCGCGGAGGGGGCGGGGGAGGGGCAGGGAGCGGGGGCAGCGGGGGGAGGGGGAGCGCGGGGGGGTGGGGGGGAAGCCCAGGAGGCGGGTACAGCATGCAGGGCGGGGGCGTGAGCATGCAGGTGGGGGTGATGGAGGCGTCGACCCAGGACTACATACATGTTCGAGCCAGGCGCGGCCAGGCCACTGACAGCCACAGCCTCGCTGAGCGGGTGAGTAGGGTGGGGTGAGGGGGAGAGTGAAGGCAATGGGAAGTGGGTTAGACGGGGTTAGAGGGGATGGCGTGATGGAGGCGTCGACCCAGGACTACATCCCGGTAGGGGTAATCCAGTGGAGCATTATCGAGGAAACCCAGCCTACATTTTCGTGCACGCGTACACTAACAGTCAGAGGTTTTCTGAGAGGGCTACGTGGGATGAGAGAGTAGTCTGGGAGGGGGTTGAGGACGATGAATCCAAAGAGGATCGCGTGATAGGAGTCTTGTTTTGAGGGTGTTTTTGAGAATTCTCAAAACTAGACTCCTATCACGCGGAATCCAAAGAGGCGGAACTAAGGGAACCAGAAAGGGGATGGACGCAGGGCTGGCAGGATTGGGGAAAGGGGGGTGATACACGTGGCGTGGATGTGCATCCGTTGACTGCATTTGGGCTGACTGATGCAGTCCCCAGTGGGCAGCATTGGGCACCATGTGTCGATTCTCTGCCCTATGCGCTCTCTGCTTCTGCTCTGCCCTAAGTGCTCTCCCTGTGAGCCCTCGCTCTCACGTCATGTCCCCATGTGCACATCTGACCCACCATGTTGTGGGTGGGTGATCCTCATGTGAGCAGGTGCGGCGGGAGAAGATCAGCGACCGGATGAAGGTGCTGCAGAGCCTCGTACCCACGTGCACCAAGGTACGCGTGCCTAGATTTTCAAGGCAGGGGTGTGCTTGCCTTGTGCCTTCTATGCGGACGTCAAACCAATGTGCAGAAAAATAGACTCCTTTTATGTGGACGTCAAACCAATGTGCAGAGTTTATTGTTGAGGCGCCTAAAAAATAGACTCCTTTTATGTGGACGTCAAACCAATGTGCATAGTTTACTTTTGAGGCGCCTCAAAAATAGATTCCTTTTATGTGGACGTCAAACCAATGTGCATAGTTTATTTTTGAGGCGCCTAAAAAATAGACTCCTTTTATGTGGACGTCAAACCAATGTGCATAGTTTATTTTTGAGGCGCCTCAAAAATAGACTCCTTTTATGTGGACGTCAAACCAATGTGCAGAGTTCCTGACCAGAGCCCAGATGTGTGAAACGCTCATTTTGCCGGCAATGGATACATCTCTTCAGCCTCCTTGCGCTATGCATTTCCACCCTTGTGCATGCCTAAATCCCGGTTCTTGCAGTCTTCATGCCTCTCTCCCCTGGTTCTCTGTGCTTGTCACTGTCTCCTTGAATGGTCCTTTTGTATGTTAGCGCCTTTTTTATGTTAGCGCCTTCGTCTGTTAGCGCCTTCGTATGTTAGCTCCTTCGTATGTTAGCCCCTTCGTATGTCAGCCCCTTCGTATGTCAGCCCCTTCGTATGTTAGCATGTTAGCCCCTTCGTATGTTAGCTCCTTCGTATGTTAGCCCCTTCGTATGTTTGCCCCTTCGTATGTTAGCCCCCCATATCTTATATTAGTTGGTCATCATATAGGTGCTTCCTCACCCCCCTTCCTTCCCGTCGGGTGACTGATGGTTTTCTAAAATTCGCTTCGTTCACTCCCATGCATGCATGCATGGTGGCGTGCATGGCATGGCATGGCATGGCATGGCATGGCATGGCATGCATCAGGCGACGGGCAAGGCGGTGATGTTGGACGAGATCATCAACTACGTGCGCTCGCTGCAGCTGCAGGTCGAGGTGAGTGTGGGGCCCACTCCCAGCAATCATCCTTCAACTATGTTTTTCTCGCTGATGCCCGCTGTGTGTCAGTGAGCACCCTTCTCTAGCTATGCTCTCCTTTCTCGTCCCTTCTGTTTTTCTCGTGATCCTACCCTTTTGCACTGTTTCATTTGTAATTCTCCTTTTTCTCTGCCCTTCCCTTGCTGCACCAAGAGCACGGAAGAAATGCATTTCCCTTTTCCAGTAACGGCCATTGTCAGCTACACAGTGCACAGTGCACAGTGAACTCCTCCCCCAACTCTCCTACACTCTCTGCATCCTCCCTTTACATCCTCCCCCGCTCCTCTCCCCATCCCCCCCCCAAACCGCACCCCCCTCACCTGTCAACTGCACCCCCGTCGCTCCCGCAGCTGCTTTCCGCCAAGCTAGCAGCCATCGAGCAGGACACAGCAGAGATGGACGGCTTGGATTCGCCCACTGAGTTTTACGCGGCTCAGATGGCAGCGCTGGGGGGACTGCCAGTCCCCTTCCCCCCTGCTGGTGCTGCTGCTGCTGGGGGAGAAGCAGGAGTGACAGGTGGCGGTGGAAATGGTGCTGGTGCTGGTGCTGCTCGTGCTGCCGGTGCTGGCGCTGCTGGTGCTGCTGGTGCTTTTCGGCAGGCGTCCCCCTCGTGCTCCCAGTCTCACGACTTCTCCTCTGCAGATGTGAGCTCACACGAGCTGACTTGAGCTCACACGAGCTGACTTGAGCTCACACTAACTGACATGAGCTCACATGAGCTCACATGAACTGACATGAGCTGACTTGAGCTGACATGAGCTGACATGAGCTGACTTGAGCTGACATGAGCTGACATGAGCTGACTTGAGCTCACACGAGCTGACGTGTGCTCACATGAGCTCACATGAGTTGACATGAGCCTACTTCTGCTGCATTCTATATCCCGTACTGCCATAACGTGCATTTTACCTAACACCCGAATGCCTTGCTGCCCCCTGTTCTCGCCTTGAGCCTACTTCTGCTCTGCAAGTGCTCTCTACTCTGTTCCTGGCATTGGTTGCTCCAGTACAATATTGCTCCATGCATAAGAGGCTCTCTTCTCATCCGATTGTCCTCCTCTCCACATTCCCGCCCCCCCTCCTTTCTCATCCGCCCTTTCCTCTCTCTAAACCCCCTTCCCCATCCCCTTCCCCCCCTCCTCCCCCCCCCCCCCCTTTTTCCAACCCCTTCCTTCCAGTCGGCCCATCACAGCCGCGCGCCATCAGCGTCAGCATCAGCGTCAGCATCAGCGTCAGCATCAGCATCAGCATCAGCGTCAGCATCAGCATCAGCGGGCGCAGGTCCCTCCCTCCACCCCGACATGGTGTCTCTCCCCACCGACCTCGCCCGCCTCCTCCTCTCCCGCCAAATGCCCCCAGGCCAGCCCGGGGCAGGTGTTGGGGGAGGGCAGGGTGGTGGACAGGCAGCAGGGGGAGGGATGGGCGGGGGGGAGATGGGGGGGGAGGGGCTGGGGGAGCTGACGATAGAGCAGCTGCAGGCACAGCTGGACGCGATGACTGGGGGAGGGGGAGGGGGAGGGGGAGGAGGAGGGGTGCAGCAGATGGGCATGCAGTGCGAGGTGAGCAGATGGGCGTTTAGTGCGCCGAGGTGGGTGGGGGTGGGCTTGCAGTGCGATGCGAGGTGGGGATGGCATGCCATGCTTGTTGGGCTGGGTGGTTGGGCAACTCTCGTTCTTCCTGCCTTTTCCTGCCTTCCTCTCATCAATCCGTGGAGAATTCCTCCTCTCAATTCCTTCTCGCTCTCTCCCCTTCTCGCTCTCCCCTCCCTCCCCCCCCCCCCCTCTCCCCCCTTCCCCCGGCCGCTCCCTTTCCCCGTCCCCCTCGTCTGTCTCCTGCAAAGCAAACCCTCGTGCAGTGGGATGGTGGTCTTGAGAGCATAGTAGCAACAGCAGCGGCAGCCATGCCCCCGTCATCTCAGCTTGCCAATTCAACCCCGGCAAACAGCCAGTCTGGCAATAGCCACCCTGCTTCAGGTGACCTGCACACGCCTAGGATGCAAAGCTCTCTGTTTCAATTGTGTGGATTCTCCCGCGTCTTCGTCCTTTCGACTAATGCTCAACTGTCAGCTGCCCTCTCTTTCTCCTTGCCATTGATCCGCTCCTCCCCCACCCCACCACTCCCCACCTAATTGCTGCAGCGTCGCCCTCCTGATCGCAGCAGCCAGGTGCGAGGCACTGAAGGGTGTATTTGAGAATTCTCAAGTTCACAACCATCACGCCCCGGCCCACGCCCCTCCTGCGCCGGCGCCACATCTGCTGCTAATGGCCCTGACTATTGGCGTCCACATGATTCGCAGTTGACTCTCCGGCCAGTTCGGGCAGGGTGTGGCAGTTTAGGTCACATGCCATGTGGGTTGCGGTTGTTAGCAGAGCAGCACTCCGTGTTTGCTGCGTGAGGGGAGTGTGCCTGTCAATGCATGGTGCATCATAGGAGCCCTTTAGTGGTTGTAGGGTAATGCTACCGTGGAGTCGCCGGTGTGGTTCTCGTTGGGAGACTCATCTTGGAGGCTTACAGGTAGACGGCACGCTGCTTTAGGCTTATTTATTGGGATGTGTAGCTAAAAGTGATAATCATTTTGACACTGATCTGTACACTTCGTACCTAATGCCGGTTTTGACATGTCAAGAGCAGCGCACGCGGCGGCATGCAGTGGCGAGTCGCGCATTGTTCCCTAAAATGCGCGAATTGACACCAAGATTTGCTTCTCATTCCTCAGTGCGGCCCTCACAACTGTAATATGCCAACGCAGCAGCGGGATGGGCCTTACTCCTTAGTCCTGCTATGTAGCAGTAGCCTTTACCAAGAGGCTATCTCCAGGGCCAAACCGCGCCACCACTGAGCGAGCCATCTACCGTCTCCCGCGTCTCCTCTCTCTGCGCGGTGCCTCCTGTCGCCACATCTAGTGAGCTCTAGCCAGTCCTAGGGAGTCTCTCCTGTCCTAGTGCCTCCTGTCCTAGGGAGTCTCTCTACCTTCCTATAGTCAGCTCTAGTAGCAGTTAGTCCACCCCCTGTGCTCTCTGCCCTAGCGCGGTGCTCTCTTCCCGAGCGTCCCCTCTTAGCTGAGTGGTTCACCGGTTCACGCGCCATGGAGTCGTACCAAGCCATGCGCGATTCGCTCCTCGCCCACCTCGCCGCGCTGCACGGTGAGGCGCGCCGACAGCTCCCAGCAGCCATGGCGAGCGCGCAGGTCGCGTGCACGTGCCTCGCTGCCGTGCTGGCGCTCGTGGTGGCGCCGCTGGGGGCGTGGATCGCGCAGCAGGGAATGGGGCTGAAGCTGGTGTATGGGTTCGTGCTGGGGTTGGCGTGCTCGCTGCTGTACGCGTCGCTTTCGATGCGGAATGCGAGACAAAGGCGAAAGAAGGTACAGTAACAGTTCGGGGATATATGTTGGGGATGGAAGGAATTTCATAAGCATTGAAAGTTGGCATTAATGAAAACGAGGTGAAATTGCATAACGTTGAGTTTTTATTCAATCCAAATGCAAATTGAAATGATTGCAATAATACACATCACAGCGCGGCATGTGCAGGCTGTCGTATTGCGCAGGCTGGATTGGGAAATGTCTCTGGACGAAGTCCTTCGAGTGGCTGGATTTGCCGAGGGCAACTGCACGTCATCGTGTCAGAAGCTGCACAGCTTCCAGGTAATGGGTTGTTCTGTTACACGCACACACGTTACGGTACAAGGAACAGGTGACATTACTAGCATAGCAACATGTGACATTACAAGCAACATGTGACATTACTAGCAACATGTGATTTGTCTAGTGGGTTTTTTTGGTGTGTGTGCCTCACTTGTGACTGCTGAAACACACGTTGTAGTGCACCTGACCTCGGGGCCACATCGCCTGCAGCTTTGTGACTCGGTGTCACTCGGTGTGACTAGGTGACTCTGCGTGTGTGCCTCTCTACATGTGGCAGTTGGCATGGGTGAACGCCACAGTGCCGCACATGTGGCCACACATCCGCCAGGCAGCAACCAGCATGCTGCAGGGCAGGCAGTCAGAGGCACACCGTGGGTAGCTCCGTTATTTTACTATGACTGTGTGGCTTGTGTGGCTGTCTGTGTGGCTGTGCATGTAACAGTTGGCATGGGTGAACTCAGCAGTGCGGCAGATGTGGCCGCACATCCGCCAGGCAGCAACTAGCATGCTGCAGGGCAGTCTGAGGGACCTGTTCGAGGGCTACCACTTCGGCATCATCACTGGGATTGACGTGCGGTCGGTCGACCTAGGACCAGACCCGCCAACGATAACAGGTGAACTTTGAGAGTCTCCTCAAACGTCTGAGGGCCGTGTTTCAAAACCTACCACCACTTTGGCATCATCTCAGTGGGATTGATGTGCGATCGGTCGACTGGGACCAGAACCCCCCACCATCCCTGGTGCGTGGAGTGGGCACATGTCTTTTGAGTGGATATCAATGTGTCACCATTCGAGATCATATCGACCCCCCCCCGCCACCAGCTGTACGAGTGCGCAGGGGAGGGAAAGAGGACAGGAGGGAGGAGGAGAAGGGGAAGGAGGAGAGGGGGGAGGAGGAGAGGGGGGAAGAGGAGGGGTGGAACCGGAATGAAGATGCGACAGGTGGCGAGAAACTGAGAGAGCCGGGGAGAGAGGGTGGGGCAGAGGAGGTGGGGGGGGGAGGCCGGGGTCAAGAGGTGCTGACGGTGGCGGAAGAAAAGCGGCAGGCAGAGAAACAGGTCAAGGCAGAAGCAGAGGCGCGGGTGCAAGGGGAGGGGAGCGCAGATGCAGAAGCAGAAGAAGCAAGGGCGCACTCAGACGGAACGAGGGGCGCGGATGCAGAAACGAAGGAAGCAAAGGAAGCGAGGGCGAAGTCAGAGGGACGTGGGGGCTCAGAGGAGGGTGGAGAGGGTGCGGCGGGGGATGGAGCAGAAGGTTCGAGCGGGATGGAGGGTGCGGAGGAGGTGGTAGTGGAGGTGGCGGTGGAGTGGACGGAGGGGCAGGTGCAGGAGCGGCAGCTTCGGATGCACGTGCAGACGGCCATGAGCCCTGATGTGGACGTGCGTGTGGGCAGCATCGCTGCTGCCGCCACGCTCAAACTCACCCTCAAGCCACTCCTGCCCGTGCTGCCAGGGTTCGGCACAGTCCTTCTCTCCCTGCTCCACCAGGTGGGGGTTTTTGGGGTTGTGGGGACTTGCATCCAAGGCGGCCTTGAGTCCAGTTATGGACGTGTGCGTGGGCAATATGGCTGCCTGGTGCGGGTCTAGGATCTCGCATCCAAAGCCTCCCCGGTTGTCCAAGCAGACTGTGCTTCGTTGGCCTCCCCTCCCTGGCAGGCCGTCACCACCCCCAACCACCCCATTCCTCAATCCTTTCCACCTCCTTCTCTCCTCCGAGCACACCCATCCCCTCCCCTCGCTCCGCCTCCACTCTGCCCCTCCCTCACTTCCCTCCTCTGCCCCGCCCCCCGCTCCCTCCCCCCCCCCCCCCCCCCCCCCCCCACTCCCTCCCCTGCTAGCCGTTTTTCAACTTCACAGTATCGGTGCAGGGCGGCAACCTCAAGGCGATGCCAGGCTTTGAGAAGATGATCGAGGTCAGTCACATGCCCTCGCGCCCTCAACACCTTTCCCACGAGCCCCATGGCAACCCTCTCTGCATGCATACAGGGGCATCCTTCCCTCCTCACACCTGCAAGTGCTCCTCTGGCTTCTTTTGAGGCGCCTCAAAATACTTTCAGCATCCACTCCACACTCGAGCATCCTTCCTTCCTTCCTTACACGTGCAAATGCTCCCCTGGCTTCTTGGTGTTGGCTTCTCGGTGTTGGCTTGTCGGTGTTGGCTTGTCGGTGTTGGCTTGTCGGTGCGTACATGCCTCATCTGTTTGTCTCTTTCTCCCCGTGTGACGTGTCCCAACCACAGACTGTGCTGCGCCTGTCAATAGACGACTCGCTCGTGTGGCCCTCCCGATGGGTGTACCCTGTCATGGAGGGTGACTTCAGGTAATACAATTTCTGCTCGGGTATTGCACATGCAATGGCTGTTAGTGCATGGCATGGCATGTTGCGTGACAGGAGCAGCGGACCCCTTTGAGCTCCCCATGTCTCTCACTCCCTCCCCCCACCCCCTCCCCGCCTGCTGTTTCCTAAAGCCAACCGTAGTGGGTTACTTGGACGTGTCGCTGATAGAGGCAGCCGATCTGCCCAAGACGGACGTGCGGACGGGAGCAGCAGACCTGTATGACCTGCACGCACCCATTGTGTGCTTATCGTTCCCCCCACCAGTTTCCTGGAGCTGATCCCAGTGGCGGCCGACCTGTCCAAGACAGACGTGCTGACAGGAGCCGCGGACCCCTTTGAGCTGCTCATGCCCCTGCTGTCTCCCTGTCTCCCTGTCTGCCCGTCTGCCCCACACACCAGCTTCCTGGAGCTGACTCCAGTGGGGTATCTCGATGTCTCACTCATAGAAGCGGCTGATCTGCCCAAGACGGACGTGCTGACGGGAGCGGCGGACCCGTTTGTGCTGCTGTACGTGCGGCAGAGGGAGGGCGCCATCAAGCGCAGCTCCACCGTGCACCACTCCAGACACCCCGTGTGGAATGAGGGGTTCATCCTCGAGGTGAGTGTGACAGGAGGCCGGTAGGATTACCAGGGTGCTGCATTTATGGAGGGAGTCTAGTTTTGAGGCGCCTCAAAACTAGACTCCTATCAGGCGGCTGGTAAGATTGCCAGGGTGGTGCGTTGATGGAGGGGAGAGAATCTGGAGGGGCATGGTGGCGGCGTGATGTCATGTCACGTTCATTCTTGGCAGCATTCATTCTGTGAATCCCGCATTCTATATTTTCCCATCTGTGACGCCGCAGTGCGTGACATGCTGCCTGGTACCTTCCCATGTGTGCCTACTCACTCCTACCTTCCCATGTGTGCCTACTCGCCCTCCGCACACCCCCCTTGCACGATGTGCAGGTGGAGGACCCAGCCTCCCAGCAGCTGACCATCCGAGTCATGGACAGCGAGCGCTTTGAGAAGTCCGAGTTCATCGGCGCTCACATGCTGCACCTCTCCCAGGTATCGCCACACGCTCCCCCGCCCCCCCCCCCCTCTCCCCCCCCTCCTCCGCCCCCCTCCCCCTCTATCCCCCTTCCCTGACCTTATCCTTCAAACTTCCACTCCACTCGCTCCCCGCATGAGTCGTCTATTTTTGAGGCGCCTCAAAAATAGACTCGCTCCCCTTTCCTTCCCTCACTCCCCTTCTTGCTCTTTCCCCCCCCAGGGCCTGGTGTGTGTGGGCCTGAACAAGAAGCCCCAGACACCACTTCCTTGCCCACACCCCCCCTCTCTCTCTCCCCCTTCCTCCAAGCTGCACCCAAACAAGGCGCAGGACCAGTGGCCAGACCTGTACGACACATCTTCCCTAACGTCCTCCATCTCCCCTCACTTCCATCTCTCTCTCTCTCCCCCCCCCCACTCCCCCCCAACCTCCCCCCCTCTCCCCCAGCTGCACGTCAACAAGGCGCAGGACCTGTGGCTGGACCTGTATGACAAGCCCGAGACGCCCGAGAGTGCAAGCACACATGGTAGGGTGCATGTGGTGGTGATGTACGTGCCTTACACCAAGAGAGAGGGCGGAGTGGGGACAGCTGAGGGGACGGAGGGAGGGGAGACATCAAAGGAGCAAGGGAAAACACCGGAAGGGAATGCATGCAACGAGCCACGGGCAGGTGGCTGAGAGGTGGGTGGAGAGAGGTGGAGAGAGGTGGAGAGGGGGTGGAGAGAAGTGGGTGGAGAGAGGTGGGGATGGAGAGAGGTGGGGGTGGAAAGAGGTTGACTGTTGGAAGCTCACTCTATTGGAAATGACATGTAACCACTACACATGATCCCATCCAAGGATGGGCTAGGCATATAATTCATTGTTGTTTGTGCATGTGTGTGACCTCTGGTGCTGCGAACAGCGGTTAGAAGCTGGTCAACGGATATCTGAGAAGCAAGAGCTAAGGAAAATGATCAATAGGCGATGATTCGCAAATGACAGCTGGGCTGATAGTCAACCAGGAATCAGTGATCGGCAACAAGCATGAGGAATAATAAAAAGAGGAGAAAAAGAAAACGATACTGGTGATCCCAACCCGGACTCTTTCTACGCTGCCGCATCACTCGCCCCCAACGAGCGGGGTAAGGCTGACGTCTCCGTGTAGATGGACAAACGGATGCGTCTGATGATGCATGATGGACAGATAGGCGGGGAGGCAAGGGGAGGTGGACAAGGGAAGGAGGGAGAGGGAAGCGGGGAGAGGGAAGGGGGGAGAGGGAAGAAGGAAGAGGGAAGAGGGAAGAGGAAAGAGGGGAGAGGGGAGAGGGGAGAGGGAAGAGGGAAGAAGGGAGATCGTAGAAAGGGAGAGCAAAAAGGGTACCGGTAAGAGGGGGAGTCAGATGAACGGTAAGGACATACTGGGAGGGCAAGGGCAAGGGGACAAAGGGGCAAGGGGGGCAAGGGGGGCGAGGGGGGCGAGGCGTGGGGGGCGAGGGGAGGGGGGCGAGGGGAGGGGGGCGAGGGGAGGGGGGCGAGGCGAGGGGGGCGAGGCGAGGGGGGCGAGGCGAGGGGGGCGGCGAGGGGGGCGGGGGAGCCAGCGAGGGGGCCTGCGAGGGGGCCGGCGAGGGGGCCGGCGAGGGGGGCGGCGAGGGGGGTGGAGAGGAGGGCGGCAAGGGGGGCGGCGAGGGGGGCGGCGAGGGGGGCGGCGAGGGGGCGGGAGGGGGGCGAGGAGGGGGCGAGGAGGGGGGCGAGGGGGGCGAGGGGGGGCAAGGGGGGGGGGGCAAGGGGGGGGGGGCAAGGGGGGGGGCAAGGGGGGGGCAATGGGGGCGATGGGGGCAAGGGGGGCGAGGGGGGCGAGGGGGGCAAGGGGGGGGGGGCAAGGGGGGGGCAAGGGGGGCAAGGGGGCAAGGGGGCAAGGAAGGGGCAGGGGGCAAGGGGCAAGGAAGGGTATCGAAAAATCAAAAGCACATGCCTGTGACGATGCTGCACAGCTAGTCTCGTGCCACATACCATGTCAGATGCCAGCCAGCCCATAGCCCATGGCATGGCATAGCCCATAGCGCATAGCTTATAGCCCATGGTAAGCCTGTACCGCATAGCTTATAGCCCGTGGTAAGCCTATAGCCCATAGCTTATAGCCCATGGCAAGCCTATAGCCCATAGAAAGTAGCCCATAGTCCATCGCAAACCATAGACCGTAGCCATCTCATGCACCATGCCATGCCATGACATGCCTCATGCGCAGCTCACCAGTAGCTGCTCTGCTGATGGTCGCTGGCTGGGGTCCTTCTGAAGGCTGCAGGGGGGCGACGAGGGGGTCGGAAGGTGGATGATAGAGGAAAGGTATGCTTATGGTGAGAAACAGATATAAGTGTGGCAGGGAGGGGATTGGGAGGCTCAATATGGTCGCTGGCTGAGGTCCTTCTGGAGACTGCAGGAGGGAGAGAGGGAGGGGGGAGGGCAAAGTGAGACAAAAAAAAATGTTGAAGGCAACAACACAACCACGCCCACCCACCCACCCACCCACCCACAAACTCACCCACCCACCCACCCACTTACCCACCCACCAGCACCACCCAGCTGCTCAATCGCCCTCCCACCCACCCAGCCACCCACCCATCATCGAGCAACGAAGTCGCAGAACTGAGGCGAGATGAAGTCAGGTGGGGCAATGAAAAAACACATGAGCGCACTGCACAGAACACACCCACCCACACCCACCCACACCCATCCAAATCCACCCATACCCACCCGCACCCACCCGCACCCACCCGCACCCACCCGCTCCCAACCGCACCCAACCGCACCCAACCGCACCCACAAAAAAGCACCCAACCACCCACCATAGCGCAATGAAGTCGCAGAACTGGGGCGAGATGAAGTCGGGGGGGGCGACAGGAGCCGGCGAGGTGGAGATCTCCCGCAGCAGCTGGAAGTAGTTGAACGACCCGCCCGCCGCCGGGCGGTAGGGGTCTCGGAGAGAAGTACTGCTCTATGGCACACTCCAGGGAGCCTCAGACCAACCGCCCATCCACACCCACCCACACCCACCCACACCTGCGCCTGCGCCCCACCCACCCACCCACGTACCATGGAGCAACGCACCCACCAGAGCGCAATGAAGTCACAGAACTGGGGTGAGAAGAAATCGGCCGGGGCAACAGGAGCGGGCGAGGTGGAGATCTCCTGCAGCAGCTGGAAGTAGTTGAACGACCCGCCCGCCGCCGGGCGGTAGGGGTACTGGCCTATGGCGCACTCCAGCAGACTCAGCCCGAACGCCCACACGTCGCTGTTGTACGCGTACGACTGCCCGCTAATGCGCTCGGGCTGGCGTGGGGGGGAGGACGGGGAGTGAGAGGAGGGGAGGAATGGGTTATGGTTGTGGCAGTGGGGTAGGGGTACTGGCCTATGGCACAATCCAGCAGGCTCAGCCCGAACGCCCACAGGTCGCTGTTGTACACATACGATTGCCCGCTTATGCGCTCGAGCTGGCGTGGGAAGAAAGGAGAGAAGGGGAAAGAAGTGGGTGGCGTTAGCCATGATAGAAGAGAGCAGCAGTGCAATCGAGACTTTTAGCAAAAAAGTTGACAGTGAAATACACAAGTTGCCCGTGTAATAGCCGAGATCTCAGAAAAACTGAACTCAGTTCCGATTCAAAAGATTAAAGCAAACGATTAAAGCAAAAGATTAAAGCAAAAGATTAAAGCAAAAAGAAGTGGGTGGAGGGGATGGAAGGGAACCTAGACATTATTGAGAGCAGGTGCCAAGTCCATTATTGCGGCACCTCAAAACGAGATTCTTTCCAGCATAGTTCCCCTTCCCGTGGACGGTGGACCACTCACCGCCATGCACTGCACTCACCGCCATGCACTGCACTCACCGCCATGCACTGCACTCACTGCCATGCACCGCACTCACTGCCATGCACTGCACTCACTGCCATGCACTGCACTCACTGCCATGCACTGCACTCACTGCCATGCACTGCACTCACCGCCATGCACTGCACTCACTGCCATGCACTGCACTCACTGCCATGCACTGCACTCACTGCCATGCACTGCACTCACTGCCATGCACTGCACTCACTGCCATGCACTGCACTCACCGACATATACGTGTACGTGCCAGCGAACGTGTTGCCCACATCGTAGCTGTTCTCCAGCACGCGGCTGACGCCAAAGTCGCTGATCTTGAGGCACCCCGCGCGGTTGAGCAGCATGTTGCTGGGCTTGATATCCCGGTGGATCACGCGGTACCGCTGGTGCAGGTCCCTCAGCCCCTGCAGCGCCTGGCGCGAGATGGAGGCGAGGAAGGGCTCTGTGATGCGCCCCACCAGCTGCAACACATCGGCAAGGGAGCCCGCATCCATGTACTCTAGCACTATGAACAGATGCCCGTTGTCCACGAACGCCTGCGTGCAGAGCGGTGGAAGGCATGTGCATGGATGGGCATGGGGCATGGAGGAGGATTTTTTAGGCACCTCAAAAGTCGACCGATGTACTTCAGGGCTATTAACAGATGGCCGCCGCCCACAGAAGCCTGTGCATGGATGGGCATGCATGGGCATGGAAGCACCTGACCTGGAAGCACCTGACCTGGAAGCACCTGACCTGGAAGCACCTGACCTGGAAGCACCTGACCTGGAAGCACCTGACCTGGAAGCACCTGACCTGGAAGCAGCGGACGACGTGGTCGGAGTGGCACTGGTGGTTGATGCGGAGCTCGTTGCCCACCATGCGCTGCACGTCCGCGTCCATGTTCAGCTGCATGTCCTTCAGCGCGTACTGCTGCCCCGTCCCCGCGTGCTGCACCAGGTACACCGACGCACTCGCGCCCCGCCCTAGCAGCTCCAACTGCTTCAAGTCTGCCAGCCGTAGAGAGTCGTCCTGCTGGTGTGGGTCAGTGGGGGGCGCAAGGGGGAGAGGAGGGGGGTGGGACGAGGGGGGACTCAGTGCGTGCTGCTGCCCCGACCCACCGTGCTGCACCACCAGGTGCCCTGATGCTCTCGGGCCCCCGACCTAGCGGCTCCTCCTGCTTCAAGTCTGCCAGCCGCAGCAAGTCGTATTGGGGGAACAGGCGAGACCGGGGGGGTTGGGGGAACAGGCGAGACCGATGGACCCATACGAGTCTAGCCGCAGCGAGTCGAATGCTGAACGCGGTGGGGATTGGGGGGGGGATTGGGGGGGGATAGGGGGGGGGGGGGGGGATTAGGGGGGGGGGTTTGGGGGGGGGGATTGGGGGGGGAGATTTGGGGGGGGGGATTGGGGGAACAGGGGAAGGGGTGGGGGGAGAAGGTGAGCCGTCGTGCTGGGAACGGTGGGGTTCGGAGGCAGCGTGAGGGATGGACGACAGAAGCGCATTGCTGCTGCCCCGTTGGAGCGGGCAGCTGCTGCAGTCCGCCTGCTTCAAGTCCGCCGGCTTCAAGTCCGCCAGCCGCAGCGAGTCGTCCCGCAGGAGAGTTGGAAATCGCAAGCGGGAAGAGAATGTGAGGCCTCCAGCTGGGAGCAAGCAGCAGGAGCTGCTTGTTCAGCCTCAATCATTGCCCACACCCTACCTGCTTGCCGTTGCCTGTGCAGCTGGGTCAGTTAAAATTCATCGCCCTACTGCTGCCTAATCATCTTTCTGGCCTTATTGTGCCTGATAGTCCAAACCAAACCCACCTGCGCCTGTCCCCCCACCTGCGCCTGTCCCCCCACCTGCTGGCGCTGGTCCCCCAGTCGCAGCCCCCCGCGCCCCACCGCCACATGCCCGAAGTTGGCCGTGCCGCTGTCCGTGCTGTGGGGGGAACGCGGGGGGCAAGGGGACGGGCGGACGAGGGGAGGGGAAGGGGCAGACGAGGGGAGGGGGAGGGGCAGACGAGGGGAGGGGGTGAAACCAGGGGGAGGGGAGGGGGCGCGCGAGACAGACGCGCGGCAATGACGGGGAGGAAACAGTGCACGATGGTGAGTGGCGGAAAATGGGGGTGCGGGGGAGAGGGGGGGGAGAGGGGGGGAGAGGGGGGAAGTGGGGGGGGGGGAGGGGGGGAAGGGGGGGAACAGAAGAGGCGCTTACAGGAAGTTGAGGTTGCTGTCAGGCGCATTCTGCGGGGCACGGGGGCGAGGGAGCGGAGGGAAGAGAAAGGAAGACAATGGATGTGGAGTGGAAGGTACGGAGAGGCGGGAATGGGGGAAGCAGCGGGTGGAAGCAGCAGGGGCACGGTCAGCAGGGAAGGCGCGCCCCGTAGTTCCGCTGCAATGGCGAGCGATACGGTAACGCGCAGAGCGGTACTCACGCTGCCTGGTAGTTGAATGCCGAAGCCCGGGACGTCTAGCATTGGCGGGAAATCGTCGTCCATATTTGCTGAGCTGGCGTGGCGCGTTCCCTAGTAGCGAAAGGTTACTCTGTTTCGTGACTAGGGTCAAAACATCAGCAAAGCGGGCCTGTTTTATGAATAGTCTTTTAAAATACGTGTCCCAGCTCTTCGGAGGTCGCGTGGCCTAATGGATAAGGCGCTCGCCTCCGGAGCGGGAGATTGTGGGTTCGAGTCCCACCGTGATCGATCCTTTTTCGTGTCGTCTCATTCTATGTGTACCAGTACAGTGGGAGCTTCTCCACAACCAGGCCCTCCTTTTCTCTGCTTTTGGATAGATAAAAAAACCTGTGAACATGAAGTAAACCATTCGGTACATGGTACCATGAACTTCCCCTCTAAACCCTCAGCTGAAAGCAAACAGTAAAAGCAAAACACACTACTTGCTGGGAGCACGGCAAAGTATCAGGCCTCAGCTAGCAGCCCCTCACTTTCCCCACATTTCCAAAGCTTGGAACTCGCACAGAATCTGGACCAATTGTTAACTTCAAATCCGGCCCATGCTTTGCCAAGAGTACAAATCCGGCCCGTGCTTTGCCAAGAGTACAAACCCGGCCCGTGCTTTGCCAAGAGTACAAACCCGCAGCCCGTGCTTTGCCAAGAGTACAAACCCGCAGCCCGTGCTTTGCCAAGAGTACAAACCCGACCCGTGCTTTGCCAAGAGTACAAACCCGACCCGTGCTTTGCCAAGAGTACAAACCCGGCCCGTGCTTTGCCAAGAGTACAAACCCGGCCCGTGCTTTGCCAAGAGTACAAATCCGACCCGTGCTTTGCCAAGAGTACAAATCCGACCCGTGCTTTGCCAAGAGTACAAATCCGACCCGTGCTTTGCCAAGAGGGGCCTCCTAAGCTATTCAAATAATGATCGCCAACAGGACGAATGAAAGTACCGTTCGAAAAAAATGTACCAACACTCCCTCGACTTCTCCACTGCTTTCCTTCAGGGCAGCCTACAGGAGCAGGTCTACCTGCGCCGCCCTCAGGGCTTCACCAGTACTTTCTCTCCTAGGACCCAATGGCTCCTCCGGCGCCCTGTCTAAAGCTTGCGACAGGTGCCCCGTGAGTGGCACGACACGCTGCGTGCCATACTAGCTGACCTGCAGTTCTTTCCGTCCTCTGCTGACCCTTCGCTCTTCGTTCGTACTGGCCAGACTCCATTCTACATCCTGGTCTACGTAGACGACCTGATATTTGCTACAGCAGACAGAGACGCGCTGGCCTGCGTGAAGGCTGAGCTGCTGATGCGACACACCTGCACTGACTTGGGAGACCTGCGCCACTACCTTGGCCTGCAGATCTCCAGGGACAGAGCAGCGCGCACCATCACTCTTACACAGTCACACTTGGTGCGCCAGGTCCTTCAGAGGTTCGGTCTTCAGTTCTCCTCCGCACAGCCCACACCTCTGCCGGTAGACCACATTCTCTTAGCTCGAGTTCCCAAGAAGTCAGCAGAGCCCAGTGGTCCTTACGCAGGGCTGGTGGATTGTGACACGACCTCAGAGAAGTGTGCGGTGCAGTCTGAAAGACCTGCCGATAGATGAAGGAGTTTGTCTCCTTTACAGCAAACTCCTCTTCTAGTCGAATCACAATCTATAATTTTTTTATTACAAAATTTCTCTCATGTTGCGTCATGTACCTGATGACTTGCACTCGCCCAGATCTCGCATACCCTCTCAGCATCCTGGCCCGCTTTGTAGCCACAGGCAGACATCGACATCAGCACTGGTCTGCCGCTAAGAGGGTTTTGTGTTATCTTGCAAGTACATCGGGCATGGGGCTAGTGCTGAGAGGACGCAGGCCAGTGGTCCTTACTGAGCACACATACGCTTCTTGGGCAGACGGCGCTGAGACCCTCCAGTCCTCCTAGGGCTACTGCTTCATCCTTGGTTCTGGTGCCATCTGGTGGAGGTCCACTCGCTCATCGTCTGTTGCTCGGTCTAGCTGCGAGGCTGAGATCTACGCCGGTGCCATGGCGGCACAGGAGCTCCGCTGGCTGACCTTCTTGCTTGCCGACTTAGGTGAGCGGCTTAGCTCTGCCCCGCATCTGTACGATGACAACAGGGCCATGATCCCCCTGTATCAGGAGCCTCGACTTGAGGGCAGAGCGAAGCACATCCAGCTTGTGAGAGTACGACCCCGTTACACTAATTTCCCCTTTTCATATTTCCTCTCTATTTCATTCCTCTTTTTATCCTCATTCATTTGGTCTTTATCTCATCTCATTTGGTTTCCTATTCCTCCTTTTCCATTATCATTTGGTTTATCCTATTATTATGATTATATCACCGACCAGGCTCGGGATGTACTGGCGCGCTATATCTAGCGTAATCCTGCCGTAATCCATTAAAGCCAATAGCCTCGCGTGGCTATACGCAGGGTGATTCTATTTCTAGAAGGGTCTATTTCCTTTGGATAGGATAAACCTGGTTACCTGATGTATTATGGAAGTATAAAAGCACCTTGTACTGAATGATAGGGCAACATTGAGCAAACCTTTCCTCGGGACATTCGATCCTGTGACACAGCTGCGGTACTTCCTCCTGTACGAGCTTCAGCAACGTCGCCAAGCCCGCGTAGTACACTTTCTTAGAACTGAGAGAATGAATGAGTAGAGAACCTGGGTACAGGCATACATATCTAAGGGTTGTACTCTCTAAGAGGTGACCCTATACAGTTTATACAAACACTAGATAGACTAATATTTGACATACCCCCTAGACTGCATAGGGGCAGTTTCTGAACAAGCAGCTCAGGGCGGCACTACTAGTCCAGCCACTGGGAGAGGACACAAGTCCAGTCTGAGTAAATATATATATAAAGGACAGTACAAAGTTAAGGCCCTAGCAAGTGAGAGACTACAAGAACTAGACCAAGCTGTACACAGTGCCGCTGATGATCTCTAGGCGCAAGCGCCTTCGTAAAGATATCAGCTGTGTTGGCACCGGAGGCCAAGTGTACTACGCGAGCCTGGCGGCGCTGCTGTAGCTCACGCAGGAGGAAGTACCGCAGCTGAATGTGCTTCGCTCTGCCCTCGAGTCGAGGCTCCTGACACAGGAGGATCATGGCCCTGTTGTTAGCGTACAGGACTGGGGCAGAACTATGCCGCTCACCTAAGTCAGTGAGCAAGAAGGTCAGCCAGCGGAGCTCCTGTGCCGCCATGGCGCCGGCGTAGATCTCGGCCTCACAGCTGGACTGGGCAACAAACAAGGAGCGGGTAGCTCTCCACGAGACGGCACCTGAACCAAGGCTGAAACAGTAGCCCTGGGAAGACCTGAGGGTCTCGGCGTCGTCTGCCCAAGAAGCGTCTGTGTGTCCAGTAAGGACCACTGACCTGCGTCCTCCTAGCACTAACCCCTATGCCCGATGTACTTGCAAGATAACGCAAAACCCTCTTAGCGGCAGACCAGTGCTGCGGTCGGTGTCTACGTGTGGCCACAAAGCGAGCCAGGATGCTGAGAGGGTATGCAAGATCTGGGCGAGTGCAAGTCATCAGGTACATGAGGCATCCGACCAGCTCTGCGTAAGGGCCACTGGGCGCTACTGACTCCTCAGAAATTGGAGCGGAGAGTCTGTGGTCTACAGGTAGAGGGGTGGGCTGTGCAGAAGAGAACTGAAGGCCGAACCTCTGAAGGACCTGGCGCACCAAGTGTGACTGAGTCAAGGTGATGGTGCGCGCTGCTCTGTCCCTGGAGATCTGCAAGCGAAGGTAATGGCGCAGTTCTCCAATGTCAGTGCAAATGTGTCTCTTCAGCAGCTCTGCCTTCACGGAGGCCAGTGCATCCCTGTCTGCTGTGGCAAAGACCAGATCGTCCACGTAAACAAGGATGTAGAACAGAGTCTGGCCAGCACGAACGAAGAGTGAGGGGTCTGCGGAAGACGGAAGAACTGCAGGTCAGCAACGGTAGCACGCAGCGTGTCGTGCCACTCACGGAGAGCCTGCCGCAGGACGTAGACGGGATGCCGCTGGAGCCACTGGGTCCCAGGAGGGAAGGTGCCAGTAAAGCCCTGAGGGCGACGCAAGTAGACCTGCTCGTGTAGGCTGCCCTGAAGGAAGGCAGTAGAGAAGTCGACGGAGTGAAGCTCGTAGTCACGCTGAGCAGCTAGGTGTAAAAGAACCCGAAGAGTAGTCATCTTCGGGGTCGGAGCGAAGGTGTGGAAGAAGTCCACCCCCTCACGTTGACTGAAGCCTCTAGCCACGTAGCGCGCCTTGAACACAGGCGGCTCTCCAGGAGGGCGCTTCACCTTGAAGAGCCAGTAGCCATCAACTACGTTCACCCCAGGCAGGGGAACTGCGTCGACGAAGGTGCCGGTGGATCTCCAAGATGCCATCTCCTGCTCCATGGCAGCTATCCACTGCGAGGCCCAGGGTCCCAAGGTCGCCTCAGCGTAAGTGCGAGGGGTCGGGATGTCGAAAGCGTCTGGGTCACCCTCAGGGATGAGCAGCATGGAACAGAGATGGGGAGCAGCCTCGGAGAGGAAAGCAAGCTCGAACTGGCGGTCCTCCAGGACGTCACTGCCAAGGGCAGGAGCACCCCCGACAGACGGAGGACAGGCAGGGTCAGAGACAAGAGCGGTGGCGTAGTCAAGGCGGCGGGTAGAGGCGAAGCCAGCGACAGCAGCGACAAGAGCGTCAAGACACGAGACCGGAACGGACGGGTCGGTAACGAGAGAGGGGAGGACGCGAGGAACAAGAGGACTAGCGGCATGAAGGTAGTCAGACAGAGGAGGAGGCACAACGGTAAGAGAGGACGGAGGAGGCACAACGGTAAGAGAGGACGGAGGAGGCGACGGTAGAAGAGGAGGACGAGACGCGTGGGAACGGAGCAACGTAGGGTGAGAGCGCGAGACAGGGGAGACGGGGAGAGCACGGGAGGGACGGCGGGACCAGACGTGAGAAGGAGGCGTCGAGTCAGGAGACACAGGAGGGGACACAGGGGGGGAGCGAGGGGGAAGACGAGCCGGGGACGAGTCCGGCGGAGGGAACACAGGGCCGTAGACAGGAAGAGGAGGAGACGGCAGGACAGGATTAGAGGCAAAGTCAGGGGACGGAAGGCCGAGCAGGCGAAGGGCTGACACCGGAGGGGACTGCTGCTGCGGCGGCTCAACACCGACACCGGGACCGCAAGCTGCTCCTCGGCTACCTCCGGGACACTCCACTCCTGCACCCCCAGAAGGAACACCCCCAGAGCCCGAAACCCCGCGGGCACCGGTACCACCCCCAGGGCCACCGGGACACGCCACGACCGGAACCCAAGGACGAGCACCCACCCCAACGCGATCACCACCAGAGTCGACGAACTGCGGCAGCGACGGCGGCGGCGGCGGCGGCGGCGGTAACGACGGGTGCGGCAGCGGCGGCGGCGGAGACGACGGCTGTGACAGCAGAGGCGACGGCGGCTGCAGAGGCTGTGGAGGAGGAGACATCTGGGGGGGAGCAGACGGCGAGGACTGCGCCGCAGGACCACCAGAGTCAGAAGACTCCTCAACCGGGACAACCGAGGGGAGAGGGGTGACGTGGGACACACCAGAGGGGGCAGGACGGGGAGGGGGAGGGGGGGGGGGAGGGACCATCGGGGAAGGAGTGACCAGGAACAAGGGGGGAGTAACAGGGGGACCGCGGTGGGGGAAGCGACGGTAGAAGGAGACGGACTTGTCAAAGGTGACGTCGCGAGAGTGAAAGAAACGGTGAGACGGCGGGAGGTAGAAGTGCCAGTCGGACGCGTCAAGGGGGAAACCGAGGAAGACGCAGGGAAGGGTGCGGGCAGTAAGCTTGTCCGTGCCAGAGGCACGAACGTGAGCAAGGCAGCCCCAAACGTGGAACGCAGACGCGTCACCAGGAGACCCAGTCCAAAGAAGGGTCGGCAAAACCCGCAGCCGCTGGGGGTGCGGCCACAAGTTAAGCTGGTGAGCAGCGTAGCGCACGGCGAACGGCCACAGAAAATGGGGTGCACTGGCATGGATCATGGAGGTGCGAGCCACCTCCATGACCAAACTGATGCGTCGCTCAGCGACCCCATTCTGCTGCGGGGAGTTCGGTAGGGTGAACGTCTGGGTGATGCCCTCCGCACGACAGAAGCGACCAAGGACACCTGAGGCAAACTCGCCACCACGATCTGAGTTAAGACGCAAGACAGGGAGACCTCGGTGGACACGCGCAGAGACAAGCTAGGGGATTAGAGCGTCAGGCACGTTGGCCTTCCGCTCCAGGGGAAAGACTGTGGTGTAGCGTGTGAAGTCGTCAACAAGCACTAGGAAATAGCGCTCTCGACGCGACCCATGGACGGGGGCGGGGCCCCAGACGTCCATGTGCAGGGTGTGCAGCGGCGCGGCGGTAGGGGGAAACGAGGAGGAGTGAGGGGCACAGCGAAGCCGACCCTCGACACAAGGCATGCAAGGAGGGGCAGGGGAGGAGGGAAAAGCGAGGAACAAGCCAGGGAGACCAAGGACAAGACCGTGCTGGGACATGTCACGCAGACGCGGGAGCGCAGGGTGACCTAGGCGGTGGTGCCAAAGGAGAGTCGGGTGAGTGAGGGACCGACAGGAGCAGACAGCAGCCACCTGAAGGGGCGCCCCAGCCGGGGGGGTCACGGTGTCCAGGGTGAACAGGCCAGACACCGGGTCCCGGGGGAACGTGGAAAGAGGGGCACCAGTGGCGGCCTCGGTACAGATAGCATACCGCTCGTGACTAGGGAACGTAGTGGTGACGCCAAGGTCCTGGAGGCACCCGACACCAACTAGGTTCCTGGAGAACGAGGGGATATGCAGACTTGTGAGAGAGCCCGAGGGAACCGCCGGGAAGGGTGGTGGAACTGCGAGCGACGACCGGACCGCCGGAGGGGTCAGCAAGAGAAACTGCAGCAGGAACAGGAAGCGGCGTCAGCGTAGTAGAGTCGCGGAAGAAGCACCGGGAAGCGCCAGAGTCCAAGGTGAAGGAAAGGGAAGCAGTGGTGGCTGGCGACGGGGCAACGGCGGAAGCACCAAGGCTAAACAAAGTAGGAGCTCCTACGCCTGACGCAGCAGGGGAGGCTAAGCTAGGCACACCTACACTAGGCGACAAGGAGTAATAAGAGGGGAGCACACTAGAGTCATCAGCAGACATCACATGCAGGGCAGAAACAATGGCATCCATGTCCATGTCACAAAACTGAACTCTACGACTAAGCAAGCTGTGCCAGTCCGGGAGGTCGGGCGATGGGCCGAAGCGCTGACGAAACAGGTCGTCCAGGCGGCGAAAATAGCGGGCAGTGGTGTGACCGATCTTACCGCAAACGAAGCCGCGGCAAGGACCGGTCTGGATCTGGTACTGACAGCGCACGCCTCCTTAACCGCCACCTGGCACACCACCACGCGCACGACCACCACCAGTGCCAGGCCACCCGGGCGGGAGGGCACTCGCCTGCCTCGTCTGCGGCGGCTGCTGCGGCTGCTATGACTGCTGCGGCTGCGGCGTCTGCTGCGGCTGCTGGTGCTGCTGCGGCTGCTGGGGTGGCTGCTGAGCTGGACCTGGCAGGATCCCCTCGTCCACTCCACCACCAGACGACCCGACTCCACTACCACCTCCACTGGCACCCCCACCTCCTCCGCTGCGCCCAGCCTTGGGGCGGCGGCCCTTCCTCGGACGGAACTGCGCTGCAGCGGCGGTCTCAGCCACAGCGGCAGAACTATCGGAGAAGGTGCACTGAGCGGGGGCACAACCCTGAAAGATAGGGACCGGCACAGTACCTCTCGCCTAGGCGATAGAGCGGTGGCGGGTCTCAATAACAGTCGGGGTGTCTACAAAGTCTGTGAGGGTGAGGTCACCTGGTTGAACACTAAGGAAGCGGTCACGAGCAGTGGCAAGGCGGTCAGGGAGGCGGGTGGCAAGCAGGTAGAGGGTAGAGGTAAGGGGCGGCTGGTGGGTTCTAAGCTGTGCATCAGTGCAGGCAGCGCGCCAGGTCTCATCTATCGTGCGCAGGTGGGCAGCGAGGTCAGCAACGGTGGGGAAAGACGCAAGGTCAGGAAAGAGCATCGGTAGGATCAGGCGACCCACCGAGGCAGCAGGCGGGGCGGAAAAGCGCTGGATAACAGCATCTAAGAAAGCCTGAGCGGTGGTGATAGACCTAAAGCGAGGACGCTCAGACGGGGGGAGGGCATTGTTAATGGCAAGCTGGGCGACAGCGTCACGGGAAAGCTAGACAAAGCGAGCGAGGGCAGCGGCCGCAGTAGACTCGCGCTCAGCAGGTGCGGGGTCAGCGGGCAGCACAGCAGGGGGGTCTGGGCAGGGAAGCGTACCGTCAATATGTGCCGAGAGCGGGTGGCCATCTTGTCGCTGACCAGTGAGGTGGCGGCGGAGGTCAGCTAGCCAGGCCTCAAACTCCAGAGGCTGGCCTTCAGCGTCGAAGCGAAGCTCCGCCGCCATCAGGAACAGCGCAGGGCAGTACAGTGCAGTGCAGGGCGGTACAGTACGGTGCAGCGCGGTGCAGTGCGGTACAGTGCGGTGCAAGGTGATGGAGAACCGTACCAGAGAGGGTGCAATGCAGTAGCAGGCACGAAGAGCGGGCCGCACGCAGATCGGCGGCAGTCCGGCGGGAAGGTGAGCACGGGGCCGGAGATCGACGGGCAGGGAGCGTGTAGGGGTCGGCAGAGCGGGTGCTGGGGCCAGTAGCGGCGGGCGCCGGGGCCGGCGAGGACGGGCGCAGGGGCCAGGTAGGACGGGCGCGGGGCCGGCTAGGACGGGCCTGGGACGGGCGCGGGGCCGGCTAGGAGGGGCCTGGGACGGGCGCGGGGTCGGCTAGGATGGGCGCGGGGGCCTGTAGGAGGGGCGCGGGGGCCAGCTAGGACGAGCGCGGGGGCCGGCTAGGACGGGCGCAGGAGCCGATAGGGCGGGCGCGGGGGCCGCTAGGACGGGCGCGGGGCCGGTAAGGACGGGCTCGGGGGTCGGTAGGACGGGCGCGGGGCCACTAGGACGGGCGCGGGGCCGGCTAGGATGGGCGCGGGGCCAGCTAGGACGGGCGTGGGGCCGCTAGGACGGGTGCGGGGGCCAGTAGGACGGGCGCGGGGGCCGTTAGGACGGGCGCGGGGGGGCCGTTAGGACGGGCGCGGGGCAAGCTAGGACGGGCACGGGGGCCGTGAGGGCGGGCGCGGGGGGCCTGCTAGGATGGGCGCGGCGGGCGCAGCTAGGACGGGCGCGGGGCCGGCTAGGACGGGCGCGGCGGGCGCAGCTAGGACGGGCGCGGGGGCGGCTAGGGCCTAGGGCGGAAGCGTGGGCGGGCGGCGGGACCTACCTACTGCTGATACCATCTTAGAACTGAGAGAATGAATGAGTAGAGAACCTGGGTACAGGCATACATATCTAAGGGTTGTACTCTCTAAGAGGTGACCCTATACAGTCTATACAAACACTAGATAGACTATGTTTGACACACTTGGCCTTCGGTGCCAACACAACTAATATCTTTACTAAGGCGCTTGCGCCTATGGATCATCAGCGGCAGTGCTTGCAGTTAGGTCTAGTCCCTGTTGACTCTCACTTGCTAGGCCCTTGATTGTGTACTCCTTTCTATTCATGCCTTTCATACTGGCCTTGTGGCTTTTCCTCTAGTGGTTGGACTAGTAGTGCCACCCTGGTTTGCAGTGTCTTGCTTGTACACTTGCTAATTGGTCTTCGAGCCCCTGCCTCAAAGGTTGGAGTAATAGTGCCACCCTGAGCTACGTGTTTCTTGCTCAGCACTACCCCTTATCTAGCCTAAGGGGTGTGTCAACTTATACATATATTGTTATGTAGAATTTATAGGCTAGATAGGATATGTTCTTAGCAAGTACAACCCAAATGCTATATATACCCTGTTCTCCCTTCTAATAATTCTTTCTAGTCTTGGCATGCATAACATAACCTCCTGCGCATGACGGATGGTGTGGTGGTCTGCTCTACACCAGGACTGCTTGCTCGATGTTACACTTCCTCAGGTGCAAATGACAGATGGCTAGTGTCGGTTTCTATTAGACTTCCTGCTGCGCACCCTGGCTAATATTCACCTGCTGCTGCTGTTGCTGTTGCTGCTGCTGCTGCTGATCATCCCCCAGTTGCTGGCCCTGCAGCTGCTGCTGTCTGTGCGCATCCATGCGAGCCAGCGCCTCCTGCTCCTGCTGCACCCGGGCAGCGATCAGCGGGCACACCACCTTGTGCCGCACCTTCCAGTCCACCGCCTGGCACACGCGGCTGCAGTATTTACCCTCGCCGCACGCAGAGCAGCACCGAAACTCCTGCTTTCTGGTCTCAGACCGCCCGCACAGCGCATTGCAGCACACCCTGAAGCCCTCAGGCGGGGGCACCAGGTCGTGCCAGTCCACCAGGAACCTGTGCACGGCTAAATGCCACCAGGACAGCGGCGGGGCGACGTGCGGCAGGCAGCAGCAGCGATGGCCCACACCTGTCTCTGAATCGACAGGGGCCTGGGTGTTGTTCCCAGCTGCTTGTGCCTCTGGACGCATGGCTCCCTGTGCCTGCTGCGATGGGTGACCAGACTCGCGTGACTCATGACCCAACCCATGACCCGACTCGTGACCAGAGTTGTGACCCGACTGGTGTGTCGGCAGCTGCTGCAGCCCAGACTCCCGCTGGCCCCGGCTGTCACCATCCGCTCTGCCCATCCTCGTTTCTTCAAGATTTCGCGAGTCAGCCTGTGTCGAAATTCTCTCTGCGCTCTCCAGGCCTTGCAGCGCGCTCAAGTCGACTCTGGAACCAGAGGGCGTGCGGTGCAGCACGACACCATGGGTCAAGGGCGCGTTTGCAGCGTGCTGGCGTGCAAACGAGCTGGACACTGCAGCAGCACGCGTCAGTACACGAGGTGCCTGCGCATGCGCCTGCCCCTTCCTGCCACCCTCCATATGACCCACAGCTGCGTTCCCCTCTGAACCAAAGCAGCCTGCAGCAGCAGACGGAAGCGGGGGAGCGGATACCTCCACGCCAGCGCAACGAGCCGTCTTGAACGGCGTCGGATTGCTGCTTGGTGCCGCAACCGCGGGAGCCGGCTGCACACAGCGTGGCACGGCCACGGAGTGCGCGAGCGCCTGAGCGGCCTCGCGGACATTCGCCTCCTGCAGCATGCGGCGGCCCTCGGGAATGTCGCGCTGCACACCGTACCCGTCCTGCAGGCAGTGCCCCAGCTCGCGCAGCCCCTCCACGTGCCCCGCGCTGGCGGCCCGCGCGCACAGCAGCACGCCCGCCAGGAGGTCGCGGTCGTGGCGCGTGCCGCCGCTGCCGTTGAAGTGGATTATCGCGAGCGAGTGCAGCGCGTGCGCGTGGCCTGCGAGTGCCGCCTTAGCCAAGAGCGTGGCTCCCAAACGGTAATCTTCGAGGCAGTAGAATTTGATCTGAAATGGAAACGATGGCCCGTGTGAGATCACGAACGATAGCACTACGCCATTCTGCTCTCAAATCGGAGAACGGGACTCCAATTTGGGAACGGGACTCCAGCTTGGAAAACGGGACTCCGGATCGGGAAACGGGACTCCGGCTTGGAAAACGGGACTCCGGATCGGGAAACGGGGAGGGTGTGGGACAGCGAGAACGTCGTGCGGCGATCATGGGAGACTCTGGGAGGAGGAAGCTCACCATGCCGAGCACGTAGCAGGCGTCCGTGTTCCCCGCAGACGCGCACTTGAGCAGGAACCTGTGCGACCCCTCCGACAGCGACCTCGCGCGCACGGCGAGCGCGAGAGGCGACACCTTCTGGAGCACCTGAGCCTGTGTCGCGAGCTCGCACATGCGCCGAGACCTGAAGAGTCAACAGCGCAGAAACGTCAGCTGTTTGCGCTTGCGGTTTAAATCGGGTGAAGTCTGGAAAACCAAAAGTTTACGACTTCAGAGGAGACCATCGTGCGCGTTGCGGAGGCCCTTACGTGAGGAGGACGTTGATGACGTCGGCGGACGAGGTGGCGTCAGCGACCACCTTCTCCAGCACGCACGTGAGGATCTCATCCTGCAGTTTGCGAAAAACATGGTCATTCGAATAAGCCGTCTTTCGCTAAAAAAAAAAAAACACAAAAAGAGGAAGATCTAAGTGTGAGACGGGCGAGAAGGCGAAGACGCAGAGGATGCACTCACGGGAAGGTTGTCCATGGGCGACAGCGGCGAGGTTACGGCGAGGCGTTTGCGAGATGAGGAGTCAGAAGCTTTTTGCGACATGCGCGTCGAGTAGGTTCTCTTGGAAGGCGTGTGCCGGATGTGGAAAGTAATACCGTCCCCAGCGCTTTGGTACCCGCCAGCTCTCGTCCGCATAGTGGCTTCTACAAGGAAAAGGCTGCTTGAATACTAGTGATGAACCGCACCAAAGTTCTTGATAGGACGTTGGTACGCAGCGCACTGCGCTCAGGGACGTCCTTTCTTGGTGATATAAGGGCCATGGAGAGGCCATGGCACTTGGGTCGCTGGAGGAGACTCCGAGGCACGGAGGAAGAGGCCGAGAATCACCGCGCACAGTGGCACGCGTGAGGGGGGGTGTGGAGGCGAGCAGCAAGGCAACATCTAGGACCTGCTGGGACGCAGATTCGAGGTGTGTCTGCCTGTGAGGCGAATCTGCCCAAGTGGAAGGAGGATTTGAAACATCCGCCTCGAGCTTGTCGGATTGAAGCAGCACGGCTGCTGCTGCCCGCCAGCGCACAGACAATCCAACCAAACCTGACCTCACCCCATGTGCCACCACAGCCCCCAGCTCTGGGGGAATGTCTGGGCCTTGGGATGATGGGGGCTGTTTTTTCCCCAAAATATTTTTGGCCTACGTGTCACGACATCTGTCCGTCCTCGCGCGCATTTTAGCCCGGAGGAAGCTCGAAAGCCGTTCGATCGGGTAGCATCGAGAGTTTGTGGCCAGTGTGGCATGTCACCGCTCACTGGGCAGCGAGAGTGCACACTGCGCAGCACACAATCCACCGCCTAAGATGGCCGCGTAATCAGAAAAGGTGGAAGGTTCGGTTTGTTTGCTCTGCAAGCTTCTGTTGTGATCTCCGTTGTCGCGATTTTCGGGAGAAAATCCAGAGTAGGGCTAAAAACCTCTTTCAACCGTAGAAAAACGTACTGAACTCCCAAGAAGCGCACATACCACGCCTAGCATTTGATCCGCAGCTGCAGGGAGGCGGATTCGCGAACTAACAGAATCGAGGCAACGACGTCAGAAAAGGCAAAACCCGCCGCCTGCGAGCCGGTCAAACGTCGGCGAAACTAGCCAGCGCATTGTCGCCATCAAGACGAAAATCCACAGCCATGATTTTGACGGCTGCGGGGGTCCAGCATTGAGAGCCCAATATAGGATTGTGGCATTCTCATGTACAGAGCAGCTGCACTTCATTACTCCACAATAGCTGACTGGCTGATGCCACACCACAAACAAAAGGATTGGTTATACTCCTGCTGAGAAATACCCAACCCAAGCACGGCCACTTGAGGTAACCACCATCTTAACCCTAAGGTTGCTTGCTTGACCCTACGCCTTGTGAGGAGGAATCACTGGTTAAAACTAACAAACAGTGAAATTGATGAGTTGAGAGAGAGAGTACACAAACATATACCTAACAGTTGTACTCTCTAGAAGATGACCCTATACAGTCTATACAAGCATGATAACTAAACATGTTTGACACACCCCCTGGACTGCATAGGGGAATGTTCTAGACAAGCAGCTCAGGGTGGCACTACTAGTCCATCCTCTGAGACAAGGGTCTAAAAAGACCAGTCAGAAGGAGTACAGGCAAGGCAAGAACTAGTACAGGGTGGCACTACTAGTCCAACCACTGTAAGAGGACACAAGTCCAGTCTGAGTGTACACACAGATATATAGGACAGTACAAAGTCAAGGCCCGAGTAAGTGTGAGACTACAGGAACCAGACCAAGCTGTACACAGTGCCGCTGATGATCTTTAGGCGCAAGCGCCTTCGTAAAGATATCAGCTGTGTTGGCACCGGAGGCTAAGTGTACTACGCGAGCCTGGCGACGCTGCTGTAGCTCACGCAGGAGGAAGTACCGCAGCTGGATGTGCTTCGCTCTGCCCTCGAGTCGAGGCTCCTGACACAGGAGGATCATGGCCCTGTTGTCAGCGTACAGGACTGGGGCAGAGCTAGGCCGCTCACCTAAGTCAGTGAGCAAGAAGGTCAGCCAGCGGAGCTCCTGTGCCGCCATGGCACCGGCGTAGATCTCGGCCTCACAGCTGGACTGGGCAACAGACGAAGAGCGGGTAGCTCTCCACGAGACAGCACCTGAGCCAAGGCTAAAGCAGTAGCCCTGAGAAGACCTGAGCGTCTCGGCGTCGTCTGCCCAAGAAGCGTCTGTGTGTCCAGTAAGGACCACTGGCCTGCGTCCGCCGAGCACTAACCCCATGCCCGATGTACTTGCAAGATAACGCAAAACCCTCTTAGCGGCAGACCAGTGCTGAGGTCGGTGTCTGCCTGTGGCCACGAAACGAGCCAGGATGCTGAGAGGGTATGCGAGATCTGGGCGAGTGCAAGTCATAAGGTACATGAGGCAACCCACTAGCTCAGCGTAAGGACCACTGGGCTCAACCGACTCCTCAGGAACTGGAGCGGAGAGTCTGTGGTCCAGAGGAAGAGGGGTGGGTTGTGCGGAGGAGAACTGAAGGCCGAACCTCTGAAGGACCTGGCGCACCAAGTGTGACTGAGTCAGGGTGATGGTGCGCGCGGCTCTGTCCCTGGAGATCTGCAAGCCAAGGTAACGGCGCAGCTCTCCAAGGTCAGTGCAGGTGTGTCTCTTCAGCAGCTCTGCCTTCACGGAGGCCAGTGCGTCCCTGTCAGCAGTGGCAAAGACCAGGTCGTCTACGTAGACGAGGATGTAGAACGGAGTCGAGCCAGCACGAACGAAGAGCGAGGGGTCTGCAGAGGACGGAAAGAACTGCAGGTCAGCAAGGGTAGCACGCAAAGTATCGTGCCACTCATGAGGCGCCTGGCGCAGGCCGTAGACTGGCCGCCGCAGAAGCCACTGGGTCCCAGGGGGGAAGGTGCCAGTAAAGCCCTGAGGGCGACGCAGGTAGACCTGCTCGTGAAGGCTGCCCTGAAGAAAGGCAGTGGAGAAGTCGAGGGAGTGAAGCTCGTAGTCACGCTGAGCCGCTACGTGTAGCAGAACCCGAAGAGTAGTCATCTTCGGGGTAGGAGCGAAAGTCTGAAAGAAGTCCACCCCCTCGCGCTGACTGAAGCCTCTAGCCACGTAGCGCGCCTTGAACACAGGCGGCTCTCCAGGAGGGCGCTTCACCTTGAAGAGCCAACGGCCATCGACCACGTTCACCCCAGGTGGGGGAACTGCATCGACGAAGGTGCCGGTGGATCTCCAAGATGCCATCTCCTGCTCCATGGCAGCTATCCACTGAGAGGCCCAGGGTCCCGAAACCGCCTCAGCGTAAGTACGAGGGGTCGGGATGTCGAAAGCGTCTGGGTCACCCTCAGGGACTAGCAGCATGGAACAGAGATGGGGAGCAGCCTCGGACAGGAAAGCAAGCTCAAACTGGCGGTCCTCCAGGACGTCACTGCCGAGGGCAGGAGCACCCCCGACAGACGGAGGACAGGCAGGGTCAGAGACCAGAGCGGTGGCGTAGTCAAGGCGGCGGGTAGAGGCGAAGTCAGCGACCGCAGCGACGAGGGCGTCAAGACTCGACACTGGAATAGACGGGTCGGTAACGAGAGAGGCAAGGACCCGAGGAACAAGAGGACGAGCGGCACGAAAGTAGTCGGACAGAGGAGGAGACGCAACGACAAGAGAAGACGGAGGAGGAGACGGGAGGAGGGGAGGACGAGACGCGTGGGAACGGAGCAACATAGGGTGAGAGCGGGGGACGGGGGAGACAGGACGAGCACGGGAGGGGCGGCGAGACCAGACGTGAGAGGGCGGCGTCGGGTCAGGAGACAGAGGAGGGGAACGAGGGGGGAGACGAGCCGGGGACGAGTCCGGCAGAGGGAACACAGGGCCGGAGACGGGAAGAGGAGGAGACGGCAAGAGAGGAACAGGCGCAGGGTCAGGGGACGGAAGGCCGAGGAGACGGAGGGCGGACACCGGCGGGGACTGCTGCTGCGGCGACACAACACCAACGCCAGGGCCACAAGCTGTGCGACGGCTACCTCCCGAAACCTCCACACCGGCACCCCCAGAAGGGACACCCCCAGAGCCCGAAACCCCACCAGCACCGGTACCACCCCCAGAGTCCACAAACAGCGGCAGCGACGACAGCGGCGGCGGCGGCGGCGGCTGCAGCGACGGCGGCGACGACGACGGCTGCAACGGCGGCGGCGGTGGAGACGACGGCTGCAGCAGCTGCGGCGACGGCGGCTGCGGAGGCGGGGGAGGAGGAGACACCGGGGGAGGGACAGACGGCGAGGACTGCGCCGGAGGACTACCAGAGGCAGAAGTCTCGTCGACCGGGACGACCGACGGGAGGGGGGTGACGTGAGACACACCAGAGGGGGCCGGACGGGGGGGCGGGGGGGGGGGGGGGGGGGGCAGGGACCACCGGGGAAGGAGGGACCAGGAACAGGGGGGGAGTAACCGGGGGACCACGGTGAGGGAAGCGGCGGTAGAAGGAGACGGACTCGTCAAAGGTGACGTCGCGAGAGTGAAAGAAGCGGTGGGACGGCGGGTGGTAGAAGTGCCAGTCAGACGCGTCAAGGGGGAAACCGAGGAAGACGCAGGGGAGGGTGCGGGCAGTGAGCTTGTCCGTGCCAGAGGCACGAACGTGGGCAAGGCAGCCCCAGACGTGGAACGCAGACGCGTCACCAGGGGACCCGGTCCACAGAAGGGTCGGCGAAACCTGCGGCCGCTGGGGGTGCGGCCACAGGTTAAGCTGGTGAGCGGCGTAGCGCACGGCGAACGGCCACAGAAAATGGGGTGCACCGGCATGGATCATGGAGGTGCGAGCCACCTCCATGACCAAACCGATGCGTCGCTCAGCGACCCCATTCTGCTGCGGGGAGTCCGGCAGGGTAAACGTCTGGGTGATGCCCTCCGCACGACAGAAGCGACCAAGGACACCTGAGGCAAACTCGCCACCCCGGTCGGAGTGGAGGCGCAAGGCAGGGAGACCGCGGTGAACACGAGCAGAGACAAGCCAGGGGATGAGAACGTCAGGCACGTCGGCCTTCCGCTCCAGGGGGAAGACGGTGGTGTAGCGCGTGAAGTCGTCGACAAGCACTAGGAAGAAGCGCTCGCGACGCGGCCCATGGACCGGGGCTGGGCCCCAGACGTCCATGTGCAGAGTCTGCAGTGGTGCGGTGGTAGGGGGAAAAGAGGAGGAGTGAGGGGCACGGCGGAGCCGGCCCTCGACACAAGGCGTGCACGGTGGGGCGGGGGAGGAGGGAAACTCGGGGAACGAACCGGGGAGACCAAGGACGAGACCGTGCTGGGACATGTGACGCAGACGTGGGAGTGCAGGGTGACCAAGGCGGTGGTGCCAAAGGAGAGTCGGGTGAGTGAGGGACCGACAG